AGAGACTTGTTTTATTGCTTCTGCTATAAAAGGCTTGAGCACATGACAGCCCCATCATGTCAGTTGGACATACCCTACAAATCAGTTTAAGGACTTCTAGTAATTGCTTGCTGGGCCAATTCAGTACCAACTTCCCAACTAGCAAAACACATCCAGGGAAACCAACAGCTTTCAGCTATGTGCTCAGCAGATTTCCTGTATCAAACCAGCACAACGTGTCTGGCCACCAGAAAAATACCAGCTTTTCCGGGTAACTCTTTCTTCTGTTGGAGCTTGCTGCATGCAAGACAAAAGGCTGCTTTTCTTGCGTGACAGGATGGCAGTGCAAGGTGTGCTTAGTGAGCAGTTCTCTTCTTCCTCAACAATTCCTGGATCTCTTGATTGTTTTCATCAAACCAGTCCTTGTTCTTCTTGAAGGAGAACCCTTACTCGGCTGATTATTTGTTTTAAAAAACCCAAACAAATCCCCTAGGGTCAAGGTGAAATGCAGATGTTTCTCTGTGCTCTGAAGGAGGGACTGCTCCCTGCTCTCATCTGCCAGCCCTAAATATCCCATTATGCTGTTTGCACTGCCGTAATTGGCACTATATAGTGGAAAACTCTGTCAAGAGGACAGGAAAGGGACCACTGCAGTGTCCTGCCCAAAACTGCACTTAAGGCACTCACACCACCTTGCAGCGAGGTACCTGACCCAAATGTGAAGCATAAGGGAGTGGCAATTGATGGACAAACTGCCCAATAGAGTTTCTGTCCTGTGAAAAGCACTCACCAGCATCCCTCAACAGAAACACTTCATTTCAGAAATATTAGAATTATCAGTTTTGACATTGTTCATGATTACTCATGGAGCCCGTATTAATGTGAAAAAGGTTTCAAACACTCCAATATGCCACTTTTTACAAACTAAACTTTCTAGCATAGTTTGTTCCCCTTGCTGCTTAACAAAAACTTCACATTTACACAGATAAACTCATTCTTCATCTAGGGTAAGGGTGACTATCTGTAGCGGATGGAAAATTTCAACTCCAATTTTGATTAACTTTCTACAGTTTCAGACCCAATAAGGGTCATGGCCATGGCAGTCCCAGCAGCAGAATAAAAGCTCCCTAAACAAAGCTTCCACTGTATTAGTGGGCACTTTTTGCCTCCGCACATGCTCATAACAACAGCAGTCAGTGAACCCTGAGACATGGGTTGCTCAAAGAATTTGTTGAGCTCGGCAGAGAACGTTTTTGTGTTCCAGTCTCAACACTCTTTTGGATACCATGAGTCCAACAAGGCATGACAGACACATTTCCCATTTGGAGGGTGATCGCAGGTCAGACTGATGCTGAGTCCAAGGGGGTGTTGGGGAGGCAGAGGAGCAGCAGATCCAAAACTCCATCCTTGCACAGGCCAGCACTGCTTGCTCCCAGAAGGGTCCTCACATTAACAAAGGGTACCCTTGTCAATCAGACCATGTGTCCCTAGTGGGAAGGCAGGGGGAGCCAGCAAGTTTACTGAACATGTAACTACAATAATTACCAAGACCCATTTTTGCTTCCATCAACTACAGCAGGATCTGGCTGCTGCAACAGCCCCTCTGCCTACTTGCTCAAACATACACTTGGAAGACAGGTATGAACAGAAATTAAGTCCCCCCACGGTGTGGGGCGGCCCAGTTCTAGTTCCATTTCCATCTGAGGAACCATTTCTGATGGCTTGAGTGGATGGGGGGGAGGGGGGGAGACTCCAGTGCCAGGGGTTTCTTCAGGTCCTGAGCCTGGAGGGGAGAGGTGCTCTCCCCTCTCTCCACCCACGTGGCTCATGGCAGGCACAGAGACAGCACACCGGCGTGGAGAGGAGGCAAGAAAGAGTTTATTGTTGGGGGGGTTACATTTATAGGCTTAGGAGGATTCACAGAGTAACCAATTACAGGTTGAAGGAAGGGGTTAACAACCAATAGGAAGGGGTTAAAAGGGGCCAATGAGAACACCTTAGGATATCTTCCCAGGACATTCCTGCATGGGAGACAATAGTCCTTCACAGGGGGTGTTGGGAAGAAGAAAGCATGAGTTAGCAAAGAGACTACAAAAAGCCATTTTGAAACATGTTTAAACCACAGTTTTCTCATATACTGCAGATTTCCTGCCACAATTAAGTAACCCAGGAGCAACAGGGAACTGTCAGCTTCCAGGTGGCACACAGCACCTGCTAACAAGGGGGATATCTGCTGTAAGCAAACTCCTGCCTCATGCTGGAGCCTGAGGATGCTCATGGCCTCCCCTCAGCTCAGATGTAAAGTAAAACTTTCACTTCACATGGATGGGAAGCCAAGACCAACTGGGCTCAACATCTCATCAGATGGGCAGGAGGGTGAAGTTGCTTTTCTTCTAGGTTCACAGCTGCTGGGTGCAGGGTCTGGCACAGCCTGCTTTTTTCTAGAGGCAAAATCTCATTAGTCTTTCAGTGTGTTTAGTTATTCCAGTGATTTTCTACGACTGCGAAAGCCAGGGCTGTGTCCCATGAAGGTTAGGACTAGGAACAGATACACATAGAAGAGAATTTGCAGCTTTCCTCTGGAGAAAAACACCATTCAATTTGCTTTCAGATAGTAGGCATTGCACCAAAGGGCAGTAATTTTATCAGCCAGCAGTTTGTTATGAGTCTGATTCATGCTCCCGTGTATTTATAGCATGACAATATATTTTTATTTCCAGAGCCAAAAAAACAAGAAATATACTTCCAAGTGAACACAGCGGTAATTTAATCTCAAGTTTCATTAGTTCAGCTATCATATGAAACAGATAAAAGATATGGGACAATAAACTGGAAACATAATATCTCCATGCCTTCCATCTGTGTAAATAAGCATGTGGGGAGCTTGAGGCTTTCACTGCACTTCTGTTCACAGCAAGTTCTCATGTATTTGTAATAAAGCATTCCCTCTCTGCTGCTTCATTAATCAGCTTCCCTCACACTGGAGCTTTCCTTATGGCAGTTTCCCATTAATGCCACATTTGCCATCACTCCAGTATGGCAGTGTTCCCAGTGGGAGCTTTCCCTATCACCAGCACTATAGCAAACAGCAGTGCCCTTTGCCCAGGCAGTCCAAAAACCAGGACCACAGATTTGGCATTGAGAGGGCATCTGTTCACATCCCAAGGGTTACCATAAAGCCACAGCCTGCCCTGAAATGCTCACATGGCGAGTGACCTTCACCTGCTTGGGATTTCCCTCATCACTTACAGGGAACTGGCTTGGCACTACATAAAGCCCTTTCTTGTTTCCAGATTCCACCAGCCTCTATGCACAGAGAATGAATGGTCTCTTTTGCTTGCAGATAGCACTTACTCAAATCCAAGACAATCTTTAAGTGTTCCATATCCAAAGTTCACCCTTTCTTTCAATTATCAAGATTTCACACTACACAAGAGAAAGTTCAGGGTTTCTGTTCTTTCTGTTATGCCTTTATGAAATAGTAGGAATCTTAAAACGTGTTTTGCTCTGTTAATTGGGCACTGTATTGGCCTATTAATTATGAACCTGAGCTCAACCCCTTCCCTTTCAAATCTGGAGGAAAGTCTGTCTGCAGCCGCTCAAAACCCAGGCTTTGGAGTAGGTCTTTTTGACTTATCAGCATTCAGGAGCCCCACTACTACTGTTCTCCACTGTCAGGGATATATCACAATCAAAGGGAAAGAGTGCAGCGTCAGCATTTTTAGATGACACCAATCTGAGTGGTTCTGTTGACACACCTGAAGGGCTGGATGACATCCAGAGGGACCTGGACACCATCCAGAGGGACTTGGACAAGCTTGAGCAGTGGGCATATGGGAATCACATGTGGTTTAACAGGACCAAGTGCAAAGTGCTGCACCTGCATCAGGGCAACCCTCGATACCAACACAGGCTGGGGGATGAACAGATCAAGAGCAGCCCTGCTGAGAAGGACTTGTGGGTGCTGGTAGGTGAGAGGCTGGACATGGCCTGGCCATGTGCACTCACAGTCCAGAAATCAATCCTGTCCTGGGCTGCATCCAAAGCAGGATGGGCAGGAGGTCAAGGTCAAGATCCTGCCCCTCTGCTACACACTGGTGTGACCCCACACTGCACTGAATCCAGCTCTGGGGTTCCAGCACAGGATGGACATGGCTCTGTTTAAGTGAGGCCAGAGGAGGCCACCAAGTTGATTGGAGGGATGGAGCACCTCTCCTATGAGGAAAGGCAAAGTGAAACCTAAGAAAAGTTAAGAGAAGTACAGAGAAGCTGTGGATGCCCCATTCCCGCAAGTGTTCAAGGCCAGGTTGAATGAGGCTCTGAGCAACCTGGTCTAGTGAAAGGTGTCCCTGCCTATGGTAGGGGGGTTGGAACAAGTTTCCTTCCTTTAAGTTTCCCTTCCTTTAAGTTTCCTTCCAATTCAAACCATTCAGTGATTCTGTGATTTATTCTATGATGTCTCAGACCCAGCCAAAGCCACTGATTCACTGAATCCAGGCAGCTACCAGGGACCATCTTCCACCTGCTTGTAACATGACAGAGACAGAGGTGACTCCAGAGGTCTGGCAAAAGACTGCCTCCCCAGAACACTGAGTGCAAACTATTGGTGCTCTCTACCCAAGCCTAACAGTGATGCCTGTGTTTCTGGGCAGCATGTCAGGGTACAGGGCTACTGTGATTAAGTTTCTGGGCATAAGCATCAGCAGTACCTAAAACTCAAGTGCTGAAAAGGTTTGGTGCAGTGGTAAGATTTCACCTATTTCGTAAGAAATGACTTAGCCTATTAATGTATATTTTTACTTAGCACCACACTTTATTCTTCTACTTTTACCTCTCACCCTTTTTAATGATCTCTTTTATGTTAGAGTATCAATCATCAAAATAACTCAATGATGGGGATCCCCAGCATAGTAAATGTATTTTCTAAGCTTTTTTTTTTTTTTCCCCCTGGAAATTCCATCTTATGAGTCTTCTTGCACTGGAAAAATAAAATACCAGAGACATCAAACATAAGCAATGCCATTTATTGAAGCTTGAAACAAATATGTCATCATAGTTTGCTTTTTAAACCTTGAAATATTAGAACAAGCTGTGAATGTGCCAAATACACATTTTTCCTGAGCAATCTGTTGAAGCTGATGTGTCTTGGGCTAATATGATAATATAATGATAATATGCCTCTGCACTTTGTACTCTATTCAGTTTTGAGACTAATGACCATCTGGGTTTAGATCATAAATCCACCTTTACTTAAGAATAGTTGTCTCATAACAGCAGTGGCACTGCTCTGTTAAAAGAGTTCATGTTGTCACAATCTCTTCCCTAAAGTTTTAAGCTGAGCAAAGTGATGACTGTGCTTCCCTGGGTAGAAAGATTATTTTGATTAATGTCTATAATATAATTTATTCACTTTTTATTAATTTCAAATGAAATTACAGCTCCCTGAAGAAAACAATGAAGGCAGAAATGGTTCTACTCCATGGTAGCCCTAAGGAGCACCGGAAAGGCCAACCCGCACAGGCATTCTTCCTCCCACCTGCACCATATCCACTCAGTCAGCTCCTTTCTCCTTAGCCCACACACCTGACGGCCCACTTCTGCTGACCGCTGTGGATAAAAAGTTGCAGGTATCTCTGAGCACAGAAGAGTCCGATCCTGAAGTGAACCTAACTCTATCCTGCCCAAATCCTGTAAGATGCTTCTGGGAATACAAGAATCATCTGCACTTACCACCAATCTGTGCTGTTTGGCTATCAGAGAACTGCTCTACACAACGCAGCCTGAGGCCAAGCCCTGCCAAATGCTTCCTGAACCAGACAGGGCACCTCCACTTCCCCGCATGATACAATATTTCTCTGTTCAGTGGAATAACAACTGCCCAGGTTTTTATTGCTCAAAGGGTCAGCAGCCATTCAGGTCCTCAGAAGGACAAAAGCACACTGTGAAACTTAAAAAGCATCATGTCTGGCGTTGGCCAGCAACGCCAGAGACATCCATTATCGTAAGAGTGCACATGCACCATTGTAAGTCATCCCCACATTATATAGCACCACATTTTTAACAGTGGATTTTATCAGCACCTATAACTGGCATTATATTGCCAGCACAGAGGTTAATAAACCCAACCTTGCCATGCTGCATATTTTGAACTCCCAGAGACTTCAAGTGAAGAAGTGAGCCCTAAGCCAAAGGTCACAAACCTTTGATAAAGGACAATGTGACTTGCGGCCATTATTAGGTTAATATATTACAGCCAGGCCAAGATATTTCTATTAACTTTCATAAAGGTCTGTCTAGAAAGAGGGCTACTGCTAGTCACAGTTCTGTAACCATAGTGACATTTGGATTCATGGTTTGTGTCTCAATCTGAACTGCATAAAACGTGACATTTCCACGTATTAAAATCTCAAATTGTCAGGTAACTAGGGAGTAAATCTGAGATTTTCTAAAAAGAGTGTAGAACCAAGGTGTCAAAATCCTACTGAATTCCAAAGGAATCTAAATGTCTGCTCTTGTCCAGCTCTTTTGAAAATGCCCAGCTTTGTTCAAAGAGGCCAGTTGCAGCTCCCTGAAGTTTGTCCTGCCATTTTCTTCAATAGCAAAACAGATTTGGCTAGTGGTCTCCTAATACCTGAGGTCTGACCTACGCAGACAATACTCTGGGTCATAAATTCCTGTCCCAGGGGCCCCTCAACCTCATTATGATCAAGGATTTGCTGTGAGTGAGGTGATAGAGTGCTCTTGTGGACGTGAGCTTGCACTACTACTGGGAGATACTGGATTAAAGGATAATTCTATCACTGAACATTAGTGTGAACTACAAAGTTTCCAGCTGCAAGCTGGCCTTTATGCCAATGCTGTAAAATTTGTTTAAAAATGTACTATGGGAATTTTCCAGCTGAAATTCTTGCATGCCACATTTGAAGCTGCAGGAAAGGTTTAAGTCTGTAAAGTTTAATTTGTCATATGAATTAACATGACATTTGTAAAACTGTTTAGCTGAGTCAGCTCATCACTCTTTCTTCTCTTCTTGTAGTTTGTAAAGGAACAGAAAGACTTTAGTCTTCAAACTCAAAAGGATCAACTTCAAACTGTCCTTACCTATACCAGTTTAGAGATCTCTTGCTCTCTTGCTGTGTGACTCCTTTACTCTTTGTGCCATAAACAGTGGAAACCATTACGGGACCAGATTTCTCTGTTCAGCAGCAGTAATATTCTTGAACTAAATGGAGCTGACCACTAGTATAACACTGGTGGAAGTGAGACGACGATAGAGAGAATACCATCAACATACCCTTACCAAAGGATAAATGTTGAGGTCGAATTTTTGCTGCAGAGCAATCTGGTACAACCTCTACGCTGCATCAGTTTCCTGATAGCTTTATATGTCCTGCTGACTTGTACCATTTGTGTTTGAACATCTGCAGCTATGGAGACTGGTTACAGTCTTGACTGGGAAGGCTTGCTTTATCTGATTTCAAATAGCTTTGAATAGCTAATTGGGAGAGGAACTACAGATGATATGTGAGACTTAAGAATGTTATTGCCTGTCCAGCAAAAGATTTGCCTGTCTAGCAAAACTATTTCTTTATACTGAAATTATTCTATCAAATGCACTGTATAAAACTATCTAACAGATATTGCTGGTTTCTCTCCTAAATGTGTAAAAAAGACACGTAGATGTGGCACTTAAGGATGTAATTTAGTGATGGACTTGGCAGTGCTGGGTTAGAGATTGGACTTGTTGATCTTTGCCACCTAAATGATTCTATCACTCCATTAAGGTTGTAGATACAAACAGCTTTGATGTTATGGTACCCAAAAATGTTGCTTAAAACATATTTGGGAACTTAACATCCTATATTTGATGGGGTTTTCGGATTACTGCAAGACATTTGTAGCAAAAAAAGAGTGGCGAGAACAGGCTATGGCTGAGGTATCCTTCAGAGGTTCAATCATGCACTAAATGAAGATTTCTTCTGAAAAATCCAATGTTTCAGTTCAACCTATCACAAGTAGTTACGATAAAACTTTGCTTTTAAATTTATGAAGTGAGCAATGACTTTAGAGAAACACTGCCACTTCCCCTGGATTCTTAAGAAAGAAAGGCAAGTGGGCACAAAGAGAACGGGGCCACGGTGCAAGTCTGTGTCTGCTGCCCAACTGGCCTCCTTCACTAAACACTCTTAAGTAAGCAGTACTGGTGTTTCAAGTCAGTTTTGGAAAGAGATGGAAGAAAGAACAAGTAAAACATTCAATTAAAACAATCAGAAAATTCTTGCAAGCTTGTTTCTAGCACCTATGCATGCCTAAGAATCACTAGCTGCTGGTACTTTGCAAATTATGTTACAATTTTTGGACTATTACAGAGAGAAAAAAAAAGAAGCAGTAACTTAGGAGTCATAATCCTAGGCAATGTGTTTTCCCAGTTTTGATCACAGATTTTCATTAATGTTGGATGGTTCATAAAAAAATGAGGAACATAAAACCTGTAAACAGAAGCCCTAATCAAAGAAGAAAGACAGTGCCAAGCTAGTGCCAAGCTGCTTGGTTGCTGTTTTCTTGGGTTTGAGGCGATTTTCTTCTAGATTTAGTGTAATATTGTTGTCTGAGGCCTCGCTGATCCCCATATCTTGCTTTGTTACGGCTTCGAGACTGACTACATGTGAAGCAGCACTGAGTCTGTATTGACGGCAGCAAGCACTTGCCAATGCCTTTCAGCCTCTGACAGAAGTGAACTGACAGCTGGTCTTTGCTGCAGGGTAGTCCTATGGTGGAGAAGATAAGAAGAATTAGCTGTATTTTGCTGACGCACTGTCTGTATTTCAAGAATTTTAAACTGCTTTATGACAGTGGTGTCTATCAAGGCTCTTATCTATGATGGCTTTCTCTTCCTCTGTATTACAGATCAGTTTGATCCCCCTGAAATTCCAGGATCTTTTAGTGAACACGTGACCTTCTGTCTTGGAAAATGCAGCACTCGTTGCTGTTCAGTTAGACATTACTTTTGCAGCAGACAGAGCTGATCTATGTTTTTCACTTGAACATTTCTGTTGACGAGGACTGTCAGAGAAAGCCTAGTAACAATGACTTGTGAGCCTGGTACTTTCGCATTCTTGTAACTGCATTTAAGACAGGTGCAGTGGGCTGGGAGAGTGATGCAGAGTAAGGTAGGGCAAGCAGGAGAGCACAGACAAAGCACGTGCAACTACACATTCAGCTTAGCTACACTTCAATTTCTGCAGCACCAGGGACTGGTCCTGTGTGTACTATGGCGCTGATAGGTCTGTGGTAGCTTTAATAAACTGACATGTGCCAAACTGAGATATTAGAAACGGGAATCCTCAGCTGTGAGAAGACAAGGTGTGCAAAAGCAGGAAAACAGTGCATTAGCTGAATGCAAGGCTGTTTTTCAGCAAATGCCCCAGCACTGGAACTAGGGAAACTCAATGAAAACTAGTATAAAGGTAGATCAAAACAGATAAAAGTGATTCTTTTCATGCTAGGCTGCGCACCCAGTAGGGCATTTCTTGTGTTTCATGGGCCACTTGAGTTTTATTCACAGAAATACTCTAATAACTAGTACTAATCTGTGTAGGCAGTATCTATCTCATTCTGAACATGAGAGGGACAGGAAATAAGCAGACCAATTCAACCCTAGGGCAAAACGTGTGCTAAAGATCTATAAACAGCAGCAGGAGTGATGCATCACCCTCAAGGGTGTCAGATCTGCACTGCCTTCAGGAGTCAAACCCTTGTCCCATTGCCAAATCAGACCCTTACCACTGACTTACTAAGAGGGAAGAATCATCCTCCAAAAGGCTTTTGAAGGCTTTTCTAGAAGGACTGTGAGTTGTTGCTGTTCTTACCTGAGGGAACTAGTCAGATACTGCAGTACGCAGACTACAGACAAAGATTTGTACCCTTTTGTAAGCTTCTTCCTTCCCCTGACACCTCTTTTCTGGGCTATTAACCACCTACACCACCACACTCCTGGGCCTTTGAACAAGAGAAGTACAGGACACCCTAAGTCACTTCTCCCCACGTCTTCATTTTGGACAGTCCCACCCTGTGGGACATAGATTTTTCTTACAGTGTCTCTCTGTAAGAATTTGCTTGCTTGCACTCACAGTCCAGAATCTGCAGTTTCCACAGGGGGAATCTATCTTAAGAAATGGCATCTGTTTGGACTCACACTGCATGTCCTTCCACAGTCCTAAATGCAGTCTAAGTTACCTAAAATAGGCCAACATGAGCAGGCCTATTCATTTAGTTGTGGCATCATAAATTAGGAATGCATGCTTAGAGGACTGCACTCCTCATCATGCTCAGAGGACTGAACAAAGCCAGGAGGGCTGGAGAACACAACAGGATGGTTCTGCCAACAGAGGAGCTGAGCAGCAGCAGGTCGGGCTGACCTTTAAGTACTGAACCCACAGTACTCAAAAGAAGTTGATAGATTGAGAAGATAGATTCAGTTCCCAGTTTTTGAAGAATCTCAGCACAAATGGAGAGCTTTTTGGAAACTGTCTCATGCAGGTGTATTACCATACCTGTACTTTTCCTGCATTCTTGCAGATTGCATTTCTGATGCTCTGTTGGCTTGGCTTTGTCCACACACATACTGTCATCTTCAGTTTCATTAGTTTCTGTATTCATGCATTTCACAGTTCTTTGCTGAATGCCCCCTCCACAAGAAACAGTGCACTGAAAGAAAGTAATGTTAACACATATAAAAGTATTTTTATATGGAAATTTGGTAATATGCCAATATTTGCGCTGTAATGTGACAGGAGGCTAAAAATGCCATATGATCCAAAACCAATGACTTTACACTACTTTGTGTACTGTGTACTCTACCCAGACACCTCCATGGTGTATTGTGGCCAGATTTGGCAGGATACAGTGGAAGAGTAAATAGCATAACTATAGCATTTTGGAATATGTAACCGGGGGAGAGGACTGTTTTCTACTGAGGAAGATGAGGATGATCAGTCCTACAAAATAAGAGAGTAGTAATCTAAATTAGTACAAATTAAGACATTTTTTGCATCCCGTTTTCTCGCTAAGTTAAACATATATAATCATTGCAATGTTACATCTACAAATGACCAAGATAAGATTTATTAAAAAAGCTCAGTGAAATGTTGTTTCTTTCGTGACATTTACACAGTGGTTATCCTTTCTTTATGACCACAAAAGAACAGCCAGCTGCTTGTTCTGGCTGCAAAAAGAAAGCCATAAAAAAGGAACACTCTTAAAATACATTCTTGTACTATTCCGTAAATGTATTTAATTCTTCAGACTTCCCAGAGCATCTCGGAATTCCAATTAATCATAAGTTCTTTTTCTCTTCAGATAAATAGTGCCCAGCAAGATAAATAATTCGACAGACAGAGAATGTCAGCTAATAAAACACCAGAGATGAAGACAGGACTGGTACCTCTCTAGTTTTTCTGCAAATTATCTTTTCTCTGATGTATATATCTGTGCATAAGACACAATTGTACTGGTGTGAAGCACATTAAAAGGTCTTAGGTACTCTTGCAACAACTTTATATTGATGTTTTAAATATTTCTAATAAAGTAAAATTAATAATTAATACATTAATATAGGATTGACAAATCAGTAAAATAATTGGTATAATTTTTTGTATTCACATGCTGATTTTATGCATTTCACTTCCATATTTAAGTGTTACACTAACTTTACATTACATTATAGTCATGTCCCATCTAATGGCTTCGTGTCAAAACCAACTCATTACATTTTCTGTGTTATGTAAGTCTCCATGGTTTCCTTATTTGTGGCTCCCGCTTTTAGCATTCCTTCGATATTCTATTCTGCTGTGTGGATATCTTTAATGTATTCCGTGTTTATTAAGGAAACTGAAGGGAAATGTTTATTAGAAATACCAGTTTCTTTATAAATAAATGTGTGTTGCAAATACTGGAAGGTTCCCCAAAGACGTGTCTTATATTTGTCAATTAGATTTCCAGGTGTTAAAGTAGAAGGCTATTGGTCAAAACTCAGATTTTCTCTTCGTGTGGGCAAGTCCAGTATTCCACAAAATTGCTTTAAGGATCACCCAACCCCCTCTAATAGCTTGAACAGTGGAAAATTTCAGATGAGCAATGGAAGAATGTAAATGGTATCTCCTTTTTTATCAGACAAGTTAAAAACTCCAGCCCTTCAACAACACCTAATGCAGCAATAAAAAGTAGAAGCTACAATACCTGTCAGCTGAAGGAACGGAGATGGGCTGGCTATGAAACGTTTAGTAATATTTTCAAAAGCTCTTCATTTTTAGCTTCAGCTGTGAATAAGAAGCTACCCTTGCCACAGGCACTGAGGTTCAAAGACAAGAGGATAATATGACCAAATATGGTCAACTCGTGACAAAAGCTAAACCAAAAATAAACCGAATCCTACCGTGCTCCAGGCCTGGTTAATCCACTGTGTACAAGGCTGCCTGTTACATGATGCAGTGGCATTAGGTCTTTTGGTCCAGTCACAGTGCCCTTCTTCTGGGCAGTAGATGTGTCGCTTTTGATGGCCACCACCACAGGTTCTCGAACACTAACAAAAGAGGGGCACAACGAGAGGTGGGAATGGGTAACAACACAAAAACAGACCATAAAGACAGCTGGAAATGTTCACTCAGAAATGTGGATAACAAGAGTTATCACAATGTGTTAACAAGAGTTTACAAGAACCCTGGGTCACTGACCCAAGGGATTTGGAAAAATGTACAAGCTAGTCTGCACGTCAAGTCCTAAAGTCTAGGCATGAAGAAAAGCTCTGCATTGAGACACTGCATCATATGCTTAGAAGGAGACAGGAAATAAGCTGTTACTTGGGGAAAAGCTGCTCCTGACATGCATTATTGCAATGACTATAGGACAGCATGGAAGTGGCTACACAGAACAGGTAACACAGAATTGCTCATCAGCATCACTGGCACCAGTAGCTTCTCTAACAAGAATGAGATTGGAAGTCACATGTCTGCAGGATTAATCTGTAATACTTACTGAAGACAGAACAAGTTCATGAGACGCAGCATCTCATTTTATGAGGTGGCTGGGGACATTAAAATTCATCCAGTCCATACAATAAATGAACTATTTGGCAATAACAGTGTCTACTTTTATTATATATACACTATATATTTGATATATTCACTACAATGACAGTGACCTAAGTTATTTTTTAAACATTCTTCTGTCCACATTCCAGTATTACTTATCCACTGACTTTTTATTATTTTTTCACTTCATCTGCAGCAGAGCCTGCTTAAAATACACAAAGTATTTCACACTGTGTCAGGGAACAATGTGCCAGATATACTTTGAATAATGCACTGTTCCTGTCCTACAAGCAATTGCATCCTGTCCTTCAAGCAACTGAATCCCTATGGACAGAGCACTCTATCTGACATCTGGTAAATCAACCTTTTCAATCCAATTGTATCCAGCGTCCTTAGCATGAGGACAACTGTCAGGGTTTGACTAGTGGGTTTTTTTTAAAAATTTAAGTGGCAAACAGGTGTAATCATTTGGCTACTTTTATTTTTTTGACCTTTGCTGATTACTTTGACAGAAATCACACATCCTGGTGTTCTTCTTCCAGGTGTGTTTTGTCAATGTCTTACAAAGAACAGTGTGATCACCTCCCTTGAAATCCAAAAGCATCAGGTCCAGAGGGCTGTAAACATCATGGTGCTTTCTCCAGAGCTGTTTTTAGTGGAAGTAAACACTAAAATGTAATCAGAACATGTGCTTTAGCTGACACAAATATGTACCTGGCTGCCTATGAGTTCATTGGAACAGATTTATATTACGAAAGGACCCAAAAGTCAGATTTATCTTATGTCTGGCCTAAGCTTCCAGATCTACAAAATTTCAGCCCAAAAGCTGAAGGGAAAGGAAAATTTTAAATTCACCGTAATGAGAAAGCAACATTAAAATGGCAGCAAAACGGATTAATCTAAATGAACCACATTTACTGATCCAATAGAATAGCTAAAACAAATCTTTTTCCAGGCCATCTACTACTCTCTTTCAGAGTATGGTGATTTACAGCTCTGGCTGTGTATTATATGCAATCCTAAGAATGACTTGAGGAAGTCTGATGAACATCTATGCTAATTCTTGCTGTAACCATACACAAGGACTGCAGAGTGGTACACACCAGCTGTGTGTCTTCCTTTGAGCACAAGTTTACCCAACTGCACAGGATCTGAGAGTCACTGTTACCTGACAGGTAACTGCTCATTCCAAAAGCTTCTTTTCAAGGACAATACCTTATTCCAGGGCTCCACATGCCACTGCAAACAAGGCTCTGTGTTACACCTAGTGCTGAGCTGTGGTTTATATCCGAGTAACTGGCAATGAAAAGGCCTGAGCAGTCGCTTTTCGCGGACATCAATGCAGTGAACATCTCGGGTCTTGAAGCCGCCGCTGCAGTTTGCAGAGCACTGCACACAAAACAGAAAGGGGTACATCTCCAAATGATGCTCTGCTGAGGGGCTGTACCCTCCCCAGTCACAGAGGAGCAGGACAGCCTGAGCTCTGAGCATCCTGAACAGAGGAAGTTTCCAGTTTACCGGAACAACAACCTGTTGTAAGGCTTAAACACTGTGGGTCTCATCACAGCAAACTGGAACACACCATATAAGTACTTCCCTTCCTTCACTGCCATGTCCATTAATGACATGTGTGTGTATTTAATTGAGAAATCTTGACAACTATTTCCAAAAATGTCACAGTCAAAGAGTTATAATGCAAAAAATACAAAAAGTGAATTCTGTATGCAAGGAGATTGTCAGTTCCTCAGTTGTTTTGGAAGGAGGGAAAGGAGGGAGGGAGGGACGGAGGGAGTAGCAGCTCCCACCCTCATGTTCCTTGCTCCTCATGGCACCAGGAGGTTCCATACTTCAAGAGTAGCCCGGGCATGAGAGAACAGAAAGAAGAGAGGCACCCTGAGCCTCATTCATAGCATGTGAAATCACTTCTCAGCTTAGAGCTCTGCTGGTAAGCTAAGCGAGCTCTTCCAGCCTCCTATTTCTCTCTGAAGCTTGCTCCAAGGCCTCCTGCAGCATCACCAGGTCCTGTCCCCAGACACCGAAGCTCAGGAACTCTCCTGCTGTCAAGGAAGAAGTGAATTTTCTACTCAAAGGATAAGGAAAAATACACATTTTGACTTCATTCAGAATTAAAGCCAATTCCAACTACATCACCGAGTAACCTCAGATCAGCTTTCACCTTTACCACCATGCTGCAACAGCAACTAATGCTGTTCTCCTTTGCATAAATAACCACTCTTCAGTTGAGCAAAGAATTTGAACATAATACCTCCCATGGGAGATGAAGAATGAATGGGTAGGGAATCCATACTCTTGTAGACAGAAGTTTCTGTCCCTCTGGATAAAAACAGTGAACAGAAGTGACTGTGTAAAAAAATGACTACAACAGCCCCAAAATACGTGCGAGTTATACCTAGTATTAAACTCAGATTGTAAGATCTAGTCTGAAGCACCTTTCTTTTAGGGAAGAGGAGAATTAGATGAGAGCAAAGGAACAGAAGAAGCTCTACTACACTAGCAGCAGAACATAGTCATCTTGCTATGATAAGGTGCCTTAAGAATGTTTGAAATGAGTAACAAAAAACAATTTCACTCGTAAAGCAAACAAATGTTAGTAATTTTTATATATTAAATTGTAATTAGGTTTGTCTGTCTAGTTCAATTTATGGAAAAAAAAGGTGAGTAACACAATAGAAATCTGTTAGGAAAAGCCTTTTGCTTTAAATTGTTTTCACAATTGGACTGACACTTTTAAAAATTTGTGTCTCATAATATTTTACCATTAAGCCTTATTTCTAGCTACTTTTTTTGACATAACTATCATTCACTTCTTGCAACAGCAATGACATTTATGAAGAAAAAGTGAAGGTAAAATATGCCCTACTGTAAATGGGACTGCGCAGTATCTATGTATCATTTAAAATGAATTTTGAAGGCTTAAATGTAGTTATGTAAAGCCTTGGCCTTTCCTGAACTTCCTAAACAGGCATGTAATTCCTGTACAAATCAATTCTGTGTCAAAGAGCTTAATAATACAGCACAGGTTTTGTAACTACAACCTTTTCTTTGTATGAATCTGCTCTCTAGCCCAATGGCAACAACATTGTCCACAAAAATGATATGTACTGAAAAAGAGTATCTTTCTCTTTATTAAATCGACATTATTTCAACAGAATTCTGTAGGTTTCCTCTTTTGAGTCATAAAAAATAACTAGCTGTTTAAAACTCCATTTTCAGACTGCATAAAGACAAAATGTAATAAGTTTCAAGAAGTCACCGAAGTCCTTCTAGGTGTCCATCATGCATCTTAAAAACCAAAACATAAGTCAAACACAATTTCTTGGGCTCCACTTGCCACCCTGGACAGTATTCTGTCCCTTGACCAAGCCATGTGTACACAACTAGGATCAAACAGGACCCTATACATAGCAGGCATTCTCCCCAGTACCATGTTCTTTCATTTTTTAAATGTAAAAATTAGAGATTAAATGGATGGGGAACAGATCATGTCACATAAGAGATAACATACGGTGACAAGGGTGAATAGGAACATGACAACTCCTTCTTTCAAATTCCCACTGCTTCTTAAAATTAGGAGGTGCCTCTGGAAGCAGAGATGCCACAACCAAATATGTACAGCTTTGCCCTACAATCTCCATAGAACATGAACAGTGAGTCCTGCTTTGGCTCTAGATCCAAGAGTTAATGAGCACAACCCACGACAGGAAGAACAAAATTCACAGCAGATGTGTTTCTAGATATAACTTGGTCAGGAAATCAGAAAATTAGTGCTGAATAGTCAACTGGGAACCATGTATGCATTACCACTGAGTAAATAATTGCTTTAAAAATGAAGTACTTAGAATTTCCTACTCACTGAAATTTGCAAGCTTACTGTTCACACACAGCTCTGAATGAAGTTACCTTGCTCCAATTTCCTGTTTTCCAGCTAGCACATGGGCGGAGATAACATTTTCTTGCAGGATCAGGCTTTTTTATGTGCTGACAATGAGATGTGTTCCTGCTGCTGCACTCCACCAGTCTCCAGAAAGCCCCCATTCCACAGGTGGTAGAGCACTGCAGAAGGGTAAGAGGAAAGCCCAGGGGCAAACTCAATATTAGTACATCATTTGGAAACAATCCGGGAACCTAAATATAAATATCTAGAGCCATTTTAGATGACCTAGGTTATCTGAGAAACTCAAAAGAAGACTTCAAACTCACCTAAATTTTACTTAATGTTCTAAAAGAGGGCTTTCTATTGCTTAGTTAAGACACTACCAATTTTGATTTACACTATGCAATTCTCTTCTTTGGCAAACTCCTGCTTACTGAGACACTCTAAATCTGTACCAGCTGTTCCACCATTTTCTTCTGTTGTCTTTGGGGATCCAATGTACAGTATAATTGCATCCAATCTCCGATATTGCTCCCTCTCTATCCCTAATATTCCTCATGAGATAGCCAGCAAATTAAGAGCAAACCTTAAATAAAATATGAGAATCTTGGAAAAAATGTGCAGCAAAAAATGTTTTAAAATTATTAATTCAAGAAGGGACTGATTGTTTTCAACATTTGGGAGGATTTTGGTGTCTGAGGTAAGAGAAAACTGATTATTCCAGTGCAGATCCCAAGAATGCATACTCCTTATAAAAAAGTCAGACACTGTCATTGTATTCTGAAGCAGGAAGGGGTGAAGATTGGCTGGAGATACCCGTTTACCTTTTTCTCCCTTAAAAAGGGAGGGACAGTGAACAACTACACATATAGAATCAAATCCAACACACCAAGCAACCTGTAGCTGGTATGAGAAACAGCATAAATAATCTTGGACTAAGTCAGCAAAAGGATGCAGAAAGCAACTGCTATTGTTTGCTTTGAACTCCTTTTGTGGAAGTGGGAAAGCTGAGTAAGTGTTCTTGGAAAAATAAGGAAACCTAAGCTGAAGATGAGGCAGGAAAAAAATCAACATTGAAGACATGGAGATTCCTGGAACAAGTGTACAAGGATCCTGTTAAAGGGAAGTGCATACCACTGTTCAGTTTTGCAGAGTGACATATCTATCCAAGACCATTTCTCTGCCTGAGAGGACGGACTGCCTTTGTCTTGCTTGCTGACTGTTGGATGGCTTCCTCAGCTCTGCTATGCCAGTCTGACAACACCAAGACTTTACTGAAGGGGTGCTCAGTCTTTGACCAAAGAGCACACATTCTGAACACACGTGAGAAGATCAAAGATAGCTGCAGGGATGGTGCTGGGTAGGTCATACTTACAGAAGCTTTATATTCTTGTCTGAGGAAAGTGAAACACAGCAGGCTTCTTTCAAAACCTGCTATGTGCAGGTACAGAGTCAAGAGGGAAATGCATGATGCTGTAAACAGTGCAGCATAAAGCACACTCCAGCATAAAGCCTTAGCTTTCTTGACTGCTGTTTGATGCTACATAAAGGAGACAGACTGATCTGAAGTTTGTGAAGACTTACTGCTTTTCCCTTTTGTCGTCTGGGAACCAAGATTCTCTCTTGTCATAGCAGATGTCTATCACAGAGGGAGAAAGTGCGGGTGACTTTTCATGACCAATAGCAGAGGTGCAGAATGAGCAGATCCAGTGGTAACGGGATATCTTTGGTACCCAGAAAGCTGCTAGAAAGGGAAAAGTGACAGCCCAGAATGACTTGGGAAAGTCGTAGGAAAGAAAGAAGTTACAGACAGAAGCATCAGTGGAATTGGGCACTGTTTTGCCCTACTCACATTAGTGCTCTCCTTTGGGAGGCAAGTGCCAGCACTGGTACAGGATGTGTCACACCATTCCATCTCAGTGACTATCACTATTCTTGGGCACTATTTATTTACTAGTATAGATGTATCATAAAGAGCAAAGAAATGTCAGAATATTGGCAGCTACTAAAAGAGACAGAGAGAGTGTATAGCAAGATGTTCATCTAGGTAGATGCACTGGTCTTGAAATAGCAATGCCTTGGACAGATGTCAGCTAAAAACCACCTTTTACTAAGGACAGGTATATAGAAAGAGCAAAAATAAAATCAGAAAACTGTAGATTAAAAATTAGTTAAAGGTAATGAACAAAAAGAAAAGGTTCTGTGAATGTTAGAATCAAGGTATGTATCTGAAATAGGTAACTTTTATTTCATGAGAAAGATAACAGCTGACTTTATTAACAGAATCACAAAATGGTTAAGGTTTAATGGAAAGGACCTTTGCTCACGCAGGGCCACCTGGAGACAGTTACCCAGAACCATGTCCAGATGGCTTCAGAATCTCCAAGGATGGAGATTCCACAAATTCTTTTTTTTCATCACTTTTCCTTCTTCAAATTTGTAAAAAAAAAAGTTAAATGTAACACATTTTCTATAAAGTTAATTTTAACAGATACAATAGCTTTCACAAGAATAGCAAAAGATTACCAAATCATTAAAGAATAGCAAAGTTAGGTACATTAAGTATCCTCAAACTGATTTCATCAATTCTGTGAAATGAAATATATTGACCTTATCTAAACATTCATTTAAGTATTCTTCAATAACTTTGAACTGTTGAGAATTATTTTTTCTATAGACTGGAAAAGTCCCAGAGGATTCGATAAGAATATCTTTCAAGTTATTTTTAGGAAAAGAAAAAGTCCTACCTGTGGTCTAATGGAATGCTTCACCCAACTTGACCTCACAAGAACATAAAAAACAAATTACTGAATAATGAAGATCAAAATGGCAAATACTAACAAAAATGATAAAGCAACAGAAAAGCCCACATGGACCTATCTAGAAAAGATTATTCAATTGAGTCTAATACCCTGCTTTGACAGGGATACATGGCTTAATGAAGAAAAGGAGCCAGCTGACGTGATGCATTTTTACATGTCTGTATAAAGCATTCTTTTAACAAATGATGGAAATATAGTCTAGGTGAAATAATTACAAGATCAGTGTTAAAAGTGTGGTAAAGTGGTCCTCGTTGGTTCAGTGTCATAATGAACTGACACTTCAAACACAGTCCTGCAGGGCTCTGTCCAAAGCCAGGCTCTCTTCAGTATTTTCATTAGCTAACTAATGAAAGACAGCATGCGCTTAAAATACTTGCAGATGATGACAAGTTGGGAGAGTTGCCAGGAATGTTGAAATCTGAACTCAAAGACACCTCACCACATTAAAACTATAAGAAAACAGTGAAATTTAAAAATACATGCTAAATACTGCATTTAGGGAAAACTTTTTATGCATACACATATATACACACATATACATGCATATATATAGGTCTCAAAACATAACTGAGAACATCTGACATCTGCTGATCTAGAAATACTGTACTAAGGGATCCAGAGTTTACAACAGACCACAAATTCAAAAAGTGAAAGCGAGATGGTTACAAAACAAGACAAATCTGATTCCAGCATTCACAAAGACAGTAATAAATAAAACAATAGCAATTATTCCATTTTATCTGCTATGTGTCAGCCGGGGCCACAATGAACATCACTGATGAAGAAATATGTGATGAAACTGAAGCAAGTCCGGATGAGAACAACAGTCACCAGATATTTAGAAAACACAAGGAAAATCTGAAAAGAATTTAGAAATTGGACCTCAGAACAGTTATTAAGAAGAAAATTTTCCTTCACAGTCTTTATGTAAAAAAAGGGAATCTTCATTTTCTGTACAGAAGATTTTGGCTATGTATAAGGAAAATATTTCTAAGGTGGATAATGAATGACTAGGACAGACTGTAGTATCTCTGTGTTAGACCTCTGCTCAGGCTGTGGTGGGCTTGGGGGTACAACCTTTCTCCTGAAATTCTATTGTAGGCTCTTGTACCGAAGCAGATCTAAATGCAGGTATTTAGGCATGTGCAGGAGGAAATGCTTCACCTGTCTCACCAGAACACGGGAAGCTAAGGTCATTCTCACCTGGCCATGGGAAGACACAAGATGAAACTTCAAACTGCCATCAGGAACACACGTCCTGAACAACTACTGATGTGGTGATGACAGAGCCTGCTCTTGCTCAGGGGTCTTACCCACTGGCTGCATCCAAACAAGGACACCAACACTATCTCAGTGGTCTAGATGTGCCTCCACTGCCATGGGATACACTAAGTCAACTCTTGCTGTCCTTTTGGGCTCTGCATTTCTGCAATTCTATAATAATTCCAGGTAGAGCCAAGGGTAAGCAGGTACAAAGAAACAGACCTTCTCCATCAGTGCTGAGACAGAGGCAGATCAGTTCAAGGAGGTTTCCAGATCTGACTCTGTTTAGCTTGGTAAAAAAGGCCTTAGAAGAATGAGACAATTAGTTCAGATACCAAACTCTTTCACTTAAGATACTATGATTCCAAGCATATAAAATCCATTCACAGAAAAAGAACCCTGTTTACATAAAAATAAAATTTTACAGTGGGAAGGACATTAAGTAAAAGTTTGTAATATATGGCCAGGCCCCCTGATGACTATATTCACTCTATGTAAGCAACCTAGATACCCCAAGTTACCAACTCTTTTGTGTCAAGTATTTCATATGAATGTATGGTACTCATTTCAGATAATCATGACAAACTAAGAAGTTTCATTTCAGCAGTGGTTCAGTCAGCTGTTCACACTCTCCACTTTTACAAGCTAAAAACAACTTACCTCACTCCAGTTGCCTACTATCCAGTAGGCATCACCAGGCAAACTGTTGGGTGCTGTTAAACGGCTGTTTTCTGTGACATTCACTAAAACACCCTCAGATGTTGCACTTTGGTTCCTCAGAGCGTGCTCAAGAGCTGAGGATTGTGTGCTGGTAGTTACCATGTCAGGCAGCTTTACTTCTTTTCTATTGTCAGTCTGGTCTCTTGGTACCTGTCCAAGCACTGTGGGCGTTTCTGCAACTGGTGCTTGTGGGGTAGTTACTTCTACAACTGGTACATCAATCTGCAGGCTGATATAGTTTGCTGTTGGAAATGCCAGCCCTTGTGCTGCTCTGCTAACAGGAAGGAGCATAGAAGGGTCTTGGTGGTGAGATGCTGGTGGAGACTGGGGAGTCACGCTCTCATTTTGAAGGACAGGAGAGACAGTGTCTAGGGTTGTGTTTCTGGTTCTGATTTCAGAATTGAGTTCTGTGCTGTAAAAGAGACCAGCTGGTTTCTTGCTGACTCCAAGAGGCCCATCAATGTCATCAGATTCTTCGGTTAAGTAATCATAGCTGGAAGTTATTTCCGGATTACTAGTAAATGAGGAAATAGGAGTGTCCTCACTTCTGTGCATCTCACTCTCTTTAGTAGAAACTGGGTCACTTTCAGAAGTATTTTCAGAATGCCTTATAATTTTAGTACTTAAGCTGTTATAAATAGGCCACGAAGTAGTATTTTGATATGAACTGTTTTCAGTAGAAACAACTGGATAATTGTAAGCATCACTCGGTCCAGCAAAATTATTTTGTATTGTTCTATTGGCTGTTCCCTCTTTTTCTGAGACATTACCCAAATCAGAGGATGTAGGCAAACAGGGAGTTACACTTTCATGCCTGGGTGTTTTTGTTGTTGTGTAGGACCTTGGGCTTGGTCTGAGTATCCTGCGAGGAAGATTCCGTTCAGGATTAGTAGTTGTTTTTCTGATTATGATCTTGCCTCTTCTGGGTGCCAGCGGGGGCATCAGGAATCTTCTAGCAGAAGGGCATTGCTGAAGACCACACAGGGCCTTAGAGTTTGGTCTCTTGGAACTATCACATGGCTCATCACTATTTTTGGCACAAGTGACATTACGAGTCCTTATTCCACCACCACAGGTAACTGTGCACTGCAAGTGAAATAGAATTAATACACATCCCCTCTTCATTCTGCTGCACATATTGATAAGGTTCAGATGGCATTTGTTTATAATACAGAAGCATCATTACAAATAATCATTTAAAAAGCTTTTCTTGAAGAACAAGTGCTTCATTCTAGGATGTTCTGCTATCACAGAGTTCTTTCCAAATTTTAAGAACAATAAATGTCACCTTGAGGAAACAGCAGTGAAAAAAAGCCTACACAATAAAGACAAAACATGAAAGTCATACAATAGATTTTGATTTCTTCATTGACTCACAACAGTCATCTAGCCAACACTTTTTCCACCAGGGTTATAAAAAAACAGACTAAAAACCTGCAATCAAACCCACATCTGACTGGCTCAGTGCTGCTTACAGTGCCCCAAACCTGCTCTGATGATCCATGCAGCTCACACACCCTTGTTGACTTTATGAAACGGATTTTTCATTCAGTCATGGAGCAACCACCAAGTCTGCCAGAGCCACTAGCATGTCCCTCTTCAATTACAGACTACTGAAAATAATTAACCTATCTGGCTCCTATTTAAATGGGAACACTGCTGTGCATAAAGGGTGCTGGAAGCTAAAGAGAGCCATTTTTTCTGTGACGTTTTTCACCCTCAGCCCCACAGGCACAGCCATGCCTTCACAAGCTGTTGCTCCACTAAGGACTTCGTGAAATCACACCTCTCTGGTCTGAGATACTAAGGCTGGATGACTGGCTGAGTATGAATGTAGATGTTACAAACAACCTACCCGAGGAATTCTTCCTAGGATATGAGGGAGCCTGACCAGCTAACTCAGGGGGTTTATAACCAGGTGCCTGACGTGAAGTGATGAACACTCCTTTCGCCAGCACTCTGATGCCCCTGACACATCTAATTTTCTTTTAGAGCTAGGTCACAGGGCAGTAAAACACCAATGACGTTGTGTTACTGGGGCACTCTTTATTGTTCACACCTGTAAAATAACATCAGCTCTGCAGCAACAGGAGCAGGGAAGCAAGCAGAATAGCCTCACAGTAGGTAAGTTCATTAGCTATTCTGTCTGGTGTCCTTGCACTTCCAGATGAATAGCATGTTCAGTTATTCAGAGCTGTGCAAATTAACCTCAGCTGCAATCTGGCCACTGAAGTTATTCAGTAAAGGATTTTGCTTATTGAGGAAGATAACAATTAACACTATGTTGCTGCTTAAACAAAAACACAACTCACTTATTTTGTCAGATTTTGCCGCTTGCATGATCTGTACTAGCATTCAAGGGAGTTAAAAGGAATATTCAACCTTATTAACTTTTTGGGGTAGTGCCTGTCTCCAGAATTAGTTTTGAAAATCTCTGGTTTAGGTTACAGTCATGTAAGAAAAAGAGATTTCAGAATGGCTACAACACTCTATTCTCATTATGTGCCTAATTAAGTATGCTTAATTTATAAGACACAGAAGGATCTTCTAACAGACAGATAAGTTTCGAGCAACAGGAATTTTCACCTGTGTAAAATCTCTCTCTTACATTCACCAATAAGGAACATTTTGGAGTTACAAGTTTCCTGACAATCCTGTCATTTGTGCAGGTGAAACAGCCTGTCCTACACTCCCTCTCCAGTTCCTACAGATGTAGAAATCTACTTTTGTCAGTAAATTGCATTTATAATCCAATGGCACGAGTAACAGCAACATGTTATTTCTATATAATTGTACTGCTAGTCATGTAACCCCACTCTAAGTTCTCACAGGCATTTAAAACATAGTGGTTGCTCAGTTAACAAAACAATCAACATTCTCTGATGATGGCATGTGAGCAGCATAAACCAAACCAATACTGTCACAATATTTTATTAGCTCATTATGTGACACTGTTCTCACAGCAGTGAGTCTAGTGAAAAAAAAAAGAGGAGAAAGAAGGAGAGAGAGGAGTTTTCAGAAAAAGAAAATACTGCGTTTTCACTTAGAAAGGACCCACAACGATCATCTAGTCCGACTGCCTGACCACTTCATGGCTGACCAAAAATTAAAGCATATTGTTAAGGCAATTGTCCAAATTCCTCTTAAACACTGACAGGCTGGGGGTATCAAACACCTCTCTAAGAAGCCTGTTCCAGTGTCTGACCACCCTCCAGTAGAGAAATGCTTCCCAGTGTACAGCCTGAATCTCCCCTGGCACAGCTTTGAACAATTCCCACGTCTCCATAGTTTGCAAGCTATGGGAAGAAAGGCAGAGTCAGGAATGCAAGAGATAGAAATGGAAAGAATGTAAAAACACTTCTTTGTAGGCCTATAGATATGACGTAGAGCCTCCCTCCCAGTCTGGTCCACAACAGTCATGAGTGTCACACAGACTTTTTAGCACTCAACCATGTTCTACTGTCCCAAAAGCTCAGCAAGTCAAGAAACAGTTAGCAAGGAACACTTCCTGAGGTATTTAGCAAGCAGGGCAGTTTTTCTTCTTCTGCACCAAAAATTTGTGAAGATACGTTAAACAAACAAACCAAGTATTTAAAAGAAGCAAAACAGCAGGTTGTTGGTCCCCTCTGCTGACTATAATAGGTCATTTGGAAAAAAATATGAATTTACCTCAGTCCAGTTGCTCACTGTCCAGTCAGACGGGCACAAGACATCTCTGTTACATGACAGATGGGTCTTTGGTTTAAGCAGGTGCTGGCACTCTGTGACAGCCAGTGCCTGCTCATCAGATCCCACTGTCTGGATGCAAAGTACAGTTCTCTTCTTCTGGCCTGTTGGGCCACATGTGGTTGAACATTTCTGCCATTCCCCTGCCCACCACCTGAAAACCAGGGGGGTGAGAAACATCAGTAAACAACCCATCACAAGCACATTAAGAAAAAGGTCAGAGACTACAAGAAAAAGAATCAGTGACTTAAAATCTGAGTGCAGATACATGCTCTTCACATTACGTCCAGATCATTCAAGCTTTCCCATTTCCCCTGTGCTCTAACACCAGCCAGTCACTGAAAGATAGAAGACAGAAGTAGGTAGGATTCCCAGACAGAAGTAGGCACTGAGTATTATGTTTCCTGAAGTGTAAGAATCCACTGAGTAAATACTCTTTCAAATTCAAATTTGAGGAACTGCTAGCAAGTCTATTTAACCAAGTAATCTATTAACTGTATCCTATTGTTTATCTGTTTATTGTTACCTCAGTACAGAGGAGTTAACAAATAAGAATCACTGGAGGGTCTGTAATGACAGCACAGAGGTGGAGAAGATCCCCTTACACATCTATGCCTCCAGTACTGCATAACTGCTCAAACTGGCCCATAAGAGGAAGCAGCGAGGCACACAATCCCAAAAACAGGTTAGTCAGAGCTATGCTGCCTGCTCCCACAAGGGATCAGTGCCTTGCAGTGCTCTCCCTCTGGGCCTAGTGTCCAGGTCTGCACTAGACTAGACTTTTCGGTACTTTGTTCCTTCATGAAGCGAAAAAAAAACCCCTTATGTGTCCCTCTCCTGATTAAAGTCAGTCTTCCATAGTGTAGAAGACACATGCAATGTTCCACCAAATTAAAGATAATTTCCTCTAGTGCAGTATTTTCCAATGCAAAATACCTTCCTGAAAAGAGCTATCCCCTTTGTATTTGGTTTACCTTAGCCTTTCTCCAGCTTCATCCACCTATTTTTTCTCATGCTGACCCAGAGTGGATCAAGTACCTGCTTATCTATCTTCCATAAGAAAGGAGAGCAAAAAATTTCTGGGTTTTTACTATTTGAGAAGCATTGACATTAACTGTGTTTGCCTAAAGATTTACCTTTATACTTAAAAAAAAGGAAAAAAAAAATCAAACCAAGAAAAGTCTTTCTCCTTCCAGTTTAGAGTGCCCTGGGCGTGTACACAACTTCGAGCTGCTGTATAAAAAGCCTGTAAACTCTAAACCACAAAAGCTCCTAGACAATATTACTTGTTCCTGAGCTTTGAAGAAGGTCATGACAAAGCCTTACAATGAAAATAAAGCAGGGATATCTTTAGAAAATGCCTTTCTAGACAAAATGGCAGGAAAAACTGCTTCTGGCTTGCAACCAATACCATTATATTGGGGTTTTTTTTCTCCTTTTAAGGTCCATGAACTTAGAGAAAAAATAATCCCATTCTGATAAATCCATCGAAGTTCAACATCCAGATTTATAATAGTTTTTGCTCCTTGATTTGTCTCCCATCTTACTGCACTTCCGGTTTCTTCAGTTAATCCCTCTCCCCTTTCCACTCTAATTTCCATGTTCCTTAATTAATTTGTTCTTCAGTTGCAAGCGAGCTGTCACTGATTTGGAAGGCACTGATATCTATTCCTTATAATTAAAAAAACCCCAAAGACAACCAGGACTGAGATCAATCAAGCTTATTTGTGCAAACATCTGGTCTTCTCTTCAGTACCTACACTTATTTTTCTTCTCTTTAGTTATCTGTACATACAGCACTTCCTTTTAAATTACCCTAGAAGCCCTTTGCTGCATGCTCTAAAATGTAACCCAGTGGCAAGGCTTCTGGACATTCCTGCAATTAAAAAAACAAACAAACAAACAAAAACAAAACAGCCAAAATATTTTTGTCCTCCCCCTGCCCTCCTTCGGATTGTTTCTTGCTCTTGCAGGCTTCTGCAAACAATAAAGAAAAACTAAAATAGTTAAAGTACTTAAAGAGAAAAAGTGAGCACACCTCAGCAGAACACAGCAATAAACAAGAGGAGAATATATTATCACCACCTAAATCAAGCCTTTTCAGGGTTGTTTTCACCTCTTGCATCTTCTTTCCAATTTTATCTTTTCTACAATCTTGTAAATTGCTGACATTTCAGCACAATGGAACTTATAAATGTGTATTGCTCTATTAATTTTAATGGAACCAGATAACGTATTTCAAGCTACAGACATCCTAGGCTGACACCCCTTATCCTCCTCACCATTTTCAAATGGCCCTGAGTAAGGGTTCAACAGTTTGCAGGTTTAAATATCAAACTCCTAGCAATAAATTATCAGAGCTTACCACAGAGCAGCAGTAATGGTGTGTGATTAACTATCACAGCAAACGCTTTCTAAAAGTCATGGAAGAAAGTAAGGTGCTCCACAGTTAGAAAATTCCAGAAGTAAGAATTTATCCTATTGCATCTTCGTGGTCAAACTAAAGATACATTTAGCCACGTAGCTTCCTCTGTAGAGTTCTTCCTCACTCAGTGCAGGTAACAGTACTGATGAGCCAAGCAGTTAGTTGTCTGACACCACATTTACCACACACACTTCAAAACACTTGCTCTAACTGGAAGTTTATTCTTATCAGTAACTAGAATTTCTGATGTTGCATTTTCCTATTTTCATTCTAAGGTACATGCACATGCCATAAACATTCAAGAATGAGAAACCTGACACGGAAGCATGTGCACTCTTGTCTCTTCTTGGTCTCTGGTTAGGACCTGAACTGTGGTGTCTCAGCCAAAGGGGAAGAAAGGCAAAGCCCAGAATGCAAAACATCTACCGTCCACTTGTCAGAAAGAAGAAAAACAGTAGGTAGCTGTGCTGACTGTGGTGAGAGACTGGGACAAGCTGAGAGAAACTGAAGCCTGATGGAAGTCACTATCCAATACTTGTTCCTATCTCTGGTTTCTGATGGCATTTAGCACTACAGCAACTGAGTGGTTCCTAAGCATTAATGCATCACCTGGTCCCTGCAAAGTGAAACAACAACATTATCTCCACAGGCAGGCATGGCGTGGAAAGATTGTGGTAACAAACAAAAACAAACAAGCAAAATGCATGATTTGGGTAATTAATTTGAGTGAACACTAATTTTCCTGAGACTGTCAAAACACAGAGCAGCCTCTTTGGTGAAAACATAACCTCAGGTAGTTTTCAGCTGCAGCTGTGAGTGCTCCTGCACTCAAACCTGGGATAGACGTAGGAAGAAAATCGGATTATTTTAGCAGGCATTCAGCTGCTTCAAATGAGACCTATCTTTTTTCCTCCCACACTGAGTTTCCAAGGTTTGTAACAAATTAGGCAGAGCTCAACAGCCTTGTCCATTACACAGTCCCAATCTATGCCTAGATGATGTGTGCTGAATGAAGTGTGCAACATGTTGAAAAACTAGAAGCATGGGATTTTGGAACCAAATCATGACTATGGGGCTGAATGTTCCCTCCCTCCTGCCCTCCTTCCCTCTGCCATGTCACAACTAAAAAAAAAACCATCTTCTTTCAGTATTTGTATAGCATCAGGCATGGCAGACACCAGTAGGGCATGGATTCTCACTGTGTATTATAATAGAAATGAGATTTCCTATTCTTATTATGCTGTTGGAAGTCTACTAAGCAGTCTGAAAGAAGGACAATAGGGTAATAGCAGATAAAAAGCAGGAGATTCTACATACTTGTGAAATTTAAGGTTACTCTGTTGAAGTGGGTAGTCAGAGTAAAAAGACTCCAGGCAATTTTCTACACAGGGCAAAGCAAAACTTTTATTCACAACACTATAACTAGTTAAAATCTCACTCTTGTTCAAGTAGTATCTATTGACTTCTAATTTTAACACCTATGGAACCAAATACCTGCCTACCAAAGAAACATGTAACTGGAAACCATACTCCATACCTTAACATGGAAAAAAGCAACCATTTAAGCTACAGTCTTGTCGCACTCCTACTGAGCAACATCACGCAAGTTGTACATTTTAACTCTCAGCTGTTCAGCCATCTTTATTTTGTTCCAAGTCAAAATGTCGCACACATGTATTGTGATAATTTAATATTTTATTCATTTTGCTCCAAATTATTTTAGTAGAAAGTGTAATAATAAATGTAATAATAAGTATAAAATAAATGCAGAGCAAGTCAGCTAACAAGCCAGAATGCTAAGACTTATCAGAAGCCTGTAATTCAAACAGTTTATAACTAATTTCCTGAAATGAATTAATGAGATAAGATCTGGTTTATGAGAGTCACAAACATCTTTGTCTGTAGCTACTGCTTGATTAATTACCTATTTCTGGTTTCGTGGTCCAGTAGCTTCTTTCATGGTAGCACGTTTTCCACCAGTGGGATTTAGCAGATCATCAGACGGAAGCTTATGCAACAGAACAACCATCTTTTTTTAGACAGGATGTTACTATAAGGAATGAGGTTCACTGTTGAGAAGTGGGGTATCATCCAATGGTTTCAGTTGTGTGGCTGCAGCACTTACCAAAGGTCTCCTGCAGTGTTGTGTTTAACAGCACTGTCCTCACCTCTAGCACAGAATTTACACCTCTCTACAGAACACTTGGTCTTCAGCAGCTTCATGTGGACTCTCAGTTATCCTATATAATGCTGCGTGGGACAGTCACACCTTCCTCCAATATTCAGATTTCTTTAGAGCAATGAGCCAAGAAACTGTATTAAAATGTCTTGCATTTCAAATGAAGATATGAACCATCTATCTAGATTAGAGGTGGCACATACGCCATGGAAAGAAAATACCAGCTAAATGCAATGCTGAGACTACAGTCTGGAACAGAGACCAGATCTGCAAAAGGAAGGGCTTGGGAAGGGTAAATAGTAATTCATTCTTCACTGCCATCACTTCCAACAGAGGAATTCAGGGCCACCAACAGAAGTTAGTGAGAGCCAGGTTCAAAATAGTTAAAATGAGGTGGTGCTTCACACAGGGATTAAAGCTGTGGAACTTCCTGCAAAGGAAGTTTATATAATAGAAGTTTTACAACATTGCACAAGGAGGCTGGACAAGTACTTGTAAGAGAGGTCCATTGGAGGTTACTGATTAGAAAAGCCATAAAAACCACTGGAAATGCCTTGAATTAAAACCAGTTGGAAGCTGGAAGAGCATTAAGAAGAGATAAGATTTTTATTTGCCTTGCCTTTATTCTTCCTTAGGCATGTAGGTCCTGCTGAGAGTCAGAACAGGGACTTAGACAGTCCCTTGGTCAAACTACTACAGTCACTCTTATGTTATTAAGAGAAAAATAAACACACAACATGATTCCAGAACTAAACATATGGTTTTCCTGCACTGCATTTTGTCATTATTTTAGTGCTTTCCTCTGCGGTGCAGAAGGAGCTTAAGAAGCATCAATCAGGGCTGTCAGCACACGAGAGCTTTTCTGCCTGGTCTGCGGAAGAGCTTGTTCACGTATTACATAATTCTACAACGTGCTCAACAAGGGACAAATTCTGCTCCCTCACTTTCAAGAGCAGGTCCAAATAATGTTGTCACTTAGAACAAATGGGACAAATTGAGTTAATTTGGAACTTTGGAATTGATAGCACAGTTTATATGTGCCATAAAAAACACCTTGATGTATGTGTGTAGCCTCAGCTCTTAACTAGTCGACTAGTTAATAAGTTTATCAATTGCTTAACCATATTGATTATCAATTGATTTTCCATAATTCTACAAGGAGTTATGAAATGCTGGTAGTCTAGGTTGCATGCACAAAGATTTAATTCCCAGAGGAAACATCATGTGCTGTTGTGAAGATACTTGGAAACAACTGGTAAAACCAACAGCTATGTAGAATTTTTTAGATTAGAGTTCCATGAAATTCACTGCTGGCAAATGCAACAGAATGAGCTCTAGGGGACTCATGACTTCAATTTATTCTGATTGAATTAGAATTACTAGGGAAAAAGTGGTATACTATTGTGAACAGCATGATAAACAACTTTCAAAGACAAAAAAGACAAAAGCAAGATGTTACAGTACCTAAAGCATGAAACTAAAACCAATACTGATTTCTTCCAGCAAATCTATGTCTGTTGTACAAGCCCACAGTTTGCTGACACCTGGAATTTTTGCTGTGGTTAGTCTTCCTTACACTACTCGCTCAAATGGTAGAAGACAAAAACTTGAGATGAAGAGGAGTTAAGGTAGTGTTATGAGAATGGAAAAAATTATTCCTACATGATCACATAATGAAGAAAGCTGCACTTCACTGAAAGTTAAAAATACAAATGGACATGATAAAAAGATGCCAAATAATGCGTTACAGAGAAAGTATAAAAATTAGTTATAGAAGTGGGCATTTCCACCCATCATCTCTCACAAAAAGGACAAAGGAGTATCAAAAAATACTGAAAAACAACATCAAAAGGTCTCTCTGTAAGTTAGTACTTGGACTGCACAGGAATGCATTATCATTTGAGCTAAGACAGGAATACAATTTTTAAAATAAATAAGAATTTACTCAGTCCTCAGGCCACCTGCACCCAAGATGAAAAAAATAGTATCTACACACATGAACGAGACTGCAATCTCCACCATTTCCAGCATAGACTGCTCAGTAATTTGCCTTGGAAACCTCTCAGGGCTGCTCACTTCTGACTTGTTTATTATGGGGTTTCTACAGCTTGCTCTGTAGTGTGTGGAAGCTCTCACCGTGGCAGGCTGTGGGTGCCACGTTAATCTGGTATCAGAAACAACATCTCCCTTTGAATAAGGCTGCTATTTACCACCTCAGAACCCTTCCAGTACCCCTTACCTGGGCGGACAGTCCTTCTCGTAGCATTTCTTTTGCCGCCCGTTGGGCTGAGTCACTGGGTCACAGAAGGAGTTCTTGATTGCTCCACTCCCCTTCCACATGCAGTGGGCAACCTGGCGCTGCACCCCTGCCAGAGAAACACACAAAAAAAGGAAGAGTAACCCCTGTAAGCGGAGGATGAACTGCAGAAATCCTCCAAGACGTTGTACTCTGCATCCCAGAATATAGTAACTGCTGTGACAATTTGTTGTGCTGAACATGAGATAAATCAGGTATGAGCATCCTTTAATCAAGCTGAAAAGAGGTTAAGCAGAGCTCTTTTGGATCAGATAGCTCAAGTCACACATTAGAAAGCACTTTCCTTAATCCCAGCATAGTTGTCAGCCTCAGAAAGGGCTCTGGTAGGCTCTGAAGAAGGTTTAAAAGGCTATGAATGGTTCTTGCATTACCCACAGACAAGAGACAACACAGCAGCACCAGGCTGTTCCCAGCAAGCCTGCTTTTGCTGACCATTGCTTTGTCTGGGAAGGCTGCTTAAGCAGAATACAAACCAGAGTGTATGAGCAAAACCATAACCTTGTGACTCTTAATGCTGAATTCCACTTTTAAGAAGTTTTGGTACACATTTTGACCGAAAATGATGTTTTCTGAGCAACTAATGCAAAACACTCAGCACAAGAGGCAAATCACAGTGATGAAGAGATACACAGAGATATTCCATACAAACAATCTGGGTTATTTCCTAACAGTTCCACTTACACAAAATGCCTCTCATTTTACAGAAAGAAACATGAACCAAAATACTACATTACCCTAGCGTGAATCTAAAGAAAGCCAGTTTCCAGAGGCCTGCTTTCCTCATAGTTCTGCAATAATTTGAGGCAGATCTCATGCTGCAACTGAATGTAAAAAAAAGTATTGTAATACTGCAGTTTGAAAGGTTGTGGCTAGACTCATATAGAGGCATTAAAATAGTTTTATTACATCCAAACAAATTCTAAGGTCTAAAAAGTGAAGAAACATTTATTAGCTCTCATTAAATTAACAGTGGTATTTATTCACAGCAATTAATATGCACATGGTAGGTCACTGTATCTCTATAACTTTTATCCTTCTTCTGGGAAGCAGGAGGGCCTAACAGTACTCTTATTATGGTGCCAAGGATAAATGTTAGGCTATTTTGCACTACGTTTAGAAAACAAGCTTTTCCTTGCCTCAGACCTCCTGGTAGCTGGTGTGGGACACTATCTGGAAGATAAGAACAGTAACCCACAGAAAATACTTGGGAAATATGAAAATATTCTTCGATACAACATATAGAGTCATAGAATCATAGAAACGTTAAGGTTGGAAAAGACCTGTAAGACCATCAAGTCCAACTAGTAACCCAAAACTGCCGCAATAACACAGAAGGAACTTTTCTATGCATATCTAAGTCATTCCATAGAAGCCAATGGAAACCTATATCCCTTTTTTTACCACCATATAATATCAGGTATGTGAGGATATGTTTTCACTTCTTGAGTACTTTCAGACTTGGGACTGAGACATACAAAACAATTACTGATTACAGTGCAGGATTTGATGACTGGCTCTCCTCAAGTCAGACATGGAGGTTGATTTTCTAGAACAGAATTAGTGTCACCTATAAGGGAAGATTAAGGGATTGAGGCATTCAAGCTCTAAGGTTCGGAAGTAGCTGCAAGGCTGCAGTATGTCTGGAGGTGTTGATCTCCTATTCCCAGGTGACTTCAAGCAGCAGAAAGCATTTTGGTTTAGCATAGGACTCCCAGGGAGCCACGTTCTCTTTTACGCCACAGTAAATGTAACTGGAATATTCAGCAACCTTCCTACTAGCTGTAAACAAAGCAGTTCATAGAAATATGTTTCTGTCCCTTTCAAAATCATGATATGCTGCTGCTGCAAACACAAATAAGAAGAAATCTTTTGCTTTGATAAATGTTTTGTGTTATTTCAGATGCTGTAATTCACTTCAAAACCACCATAAACCTTTGCAAAAGTTTTGCTTTGAAGCTGTACATTCTCATAAAACAACTGCAGATCACTGACATCAACAAACTAATTTATTCACACAAGCAATTTGTATTATGGAAGTTATGTGAACTCCCACTGTAGTTTCAAAATGTTTGGATGTTCAGCTCCAAAGCTGGAGTGAATTCTATACGTATATATCAATACACATATGTATGTAGGTATATACGTGTAATGAGATAATGGAGCAGTTGCTTTTATCAGGTTGAGCAAGTTGAACTAGAAAACACTGCAGAAGTAGAAAACTAGTCACTCCACACTGATCCTACCCTAACAAGTGTTTACACAAGTACATAACTTAAATGGGTAATATCCCATATAAGTCACAGATTAAAAATTCTAAATCTACTTAAACCTCAGTAAAATTTGAAACCTAAACACCATTTCTATAAGGCTGTGAGAGTTAGCTGTTTTCCTCCCTTCACCACTTTTCCTTCTCTCTGACCTCAGTGCTAATTAGTTCACACTGACGTGAACTATCTCAGCTCTGTGGAAAAAAAAAACCTACAAATATTTCTGGTTAAAAAAAAGAGAAATTGAGAATGACAATAATAGATCAAAGAATAACCTTCATTTCACTAAACCTGCTCAGAGATTACTTCTACTCTCTGTGATACTTCATCCCTCATGCAGAACTTTTCAGGTGTGAGCTTAACCTTCTCAGCTATTGATTTCCCACTTGGTTTGCAAAGAAAGGTGCCTGTTTAAAGTCATTTAGTTGTGGAAGGATTTTGAAACAGAGATTAGAAATCTGTTGGCTACACAGCTCTCAGTTTGGGCAAAATAAAGGCTGAACACAACAGAAATAGAGGACCAGAAGCAAGTGTATAAAAGGTATATGCAAAAGAGCACATTTGATCATAGAACTCATTTAAACATGTAATTGTCTCAGTTGTCCATTTAAATCAGATACTCTGCAAGGAGTTCACTTTATATTTGAATGAACAAATTACATTCTGTGCATGCACAAGTAATGTGCAGAACACAAGAGCCAATCTTTACATTCACAGTGTTCCAAAACTCAGGCCCATAACAGTAAACGGAAATATAGTGACCTTTGTTTTCTAAAACCAATACTACAAGTTGAATACCACATTTCAGTTCAGGAACACCTGGTGATAATTTTGCAAAGCTGCCTTGATAGCAGTTGTGAAGGATTTAGAGGGCACATAACAATTAACCCCTGAACAAATCTTATAGTTAAGTCCTTTTGCAGAGCTTTGAAAATTTGCCAATTACTGATGCTATCTACGGAGAAGTAAATTGTTGATGTCGCCTAATATCCTCCCTTTGTTGCAGCTGTGCTGTGTTATGCCTCTTGTTACGTCTAATGCCACTTGAAGCTAGTTCTAAGAAATATGACTAAAGCCTTTAGGCAAGGAGGAAGGATTAATACCTGCAATTCAACCCTTACGCATTCTGTGATTCTGTAAAGAAAGAATAATAGGTAGTTGCCCTAGCAAAAAACCTCAGTGACACACTTAAATTAATCTGGCTATAAGAAAGCTTATGGGCTCTAGTTGCTATCTTGAGAGCAGGCTCTGGAGCGACAAGCTCTCGGCCAGAGGGTGCAGCAGTTGCAGGACACTGTCTGGTGTGCACGGAGTCTGACTGCAAAGTAATTCCTTTCTGCATAAAGGAAATGGCAGGAAGAGGCCCAACCCGCACTGGACTGAGGACTGAGCAGAGCTTATGATTTTACTACAAAAGATGGGGGAATATAAGGGCAATGAAGGAAGACATGGATCTTCTGTTTCTCCACTGCGATAGAGCCGGAAAAGGATGTGCATCAGGGCATGGCATGGTGCTGCCTTGAGGCCAGGAATCTTGTGGAAAAATATCTTTATGGAGCTGTCCTGGGTTCATTCTGTGAAGAGATAGCTTCACTCTACAAAGTCATAATTCATCATTCATTAGTCATCACCTGGACTTTTCCCAAATACATTTACCATGGATAAGCAGGTGTATCATTGGGCTAAAACTGTATTTCTTCTCTTAGGACAGATGAAACTTTTCTGCATCAGCCTATTCCCCCACCTGTAGTCCAACTTGTCATTCCCTAATGCAGCTTCACTTTCTCAGCTCCACAACGCATTTATTGGCATTTTCCTGATCTCTATAACTGAGAAAGGCCAAAGTGCCCTCGGATTTACTGCTATGTTGTTGACCAGTGGTGAAGAAAGGACCTATGCCAAGCCTTTGGCAGGTTCATGTTTGCCAGGAGAACAGAAGTCTCAGTAAGGATTCATTTCTCCCACTGACTGCGGCTATCAAAGTCAGTTAAACAGTTCAGCTTTCTTGGCCCTTCCTTTTATCTTGAAAAACTATTGGTTTACTGTTTACCAAATGATAACTGCAATAATCCTTGAAGATTATTTACTACTAACCTTAGGCTAATTAAATACAGCTTTCCTTTTTTGTCTATCTGTAGGCTTGTCTTCAATAGGACTTGTCATGCAGCACATCCATAGCAGAAGAGGAACCTGCCTACTTCAATACACTTTCATCATACAAACCTTGCAAAACACTTCAAATGCCAGCGATTTGGTACAACAGAAATAAATTTTGAATCTAAACAGAGTGAACACTCAGATAAAATCAATCTCATCATTCAAAGTCAGAAGTCAGAGAAGTGTTGTTTAATCCAGCAACACTGGCAACATTCAATTCTGCTCTTACTTTGCCTCCTGGTCCTGAACTGAACTCAGCAGGATCACACCACAATAATGTGTAGCCATGTGAGGTAATTTGGTTCTAGGCAAACAGACTCTACCATGCCCATATTCCCTGCTAAGTGCAGCAAGACTTTAGCATTTCCAAATGCCATAATGATGGAGAGCTAACATTTTCCAAATACACCTTTCCTGTTGCTATGCCCTTTTTTTTTAATGCAGTAAAGCTTATTATTCCTAATGTGTTTGTGCTTTGATTACCTGGGCATAAACCTGTTCTATTAGTGCACCAGCATGCTGCTTAGGAGGGCCAGCTAGCTCAGATTCATGGCCAGTCAGGTTTTTGAGAAAGAAACTTCACGGCCTTTTTGGGAAACCTGTTCCAGTGCTCTGTCATGCTCAAAGTAAACAAGTTTTTCCTCATATTATTTTTGTAACTGTGTGATCTGATTTCCCACCACATGCAGATTAAAGAACCTTACCTCTTTGAGGATTATGTTTGGATAACTTATAGATGAGATTTGCCACTAGTGAAGACAAACAGTTGTAGAAAAAGGAAATGAGGAATTACCTCTTCCACAGGTAACACTGCAGGCCGTCCATTCTCCATATTGCCAAAAATACTCTGGCTCTCCAATCTCATTCTCATTACTTTCTTCTTTACGTACAGTGTATTCATACTTGATTCCAGGGTTAGTTTCTTGAAAAAGTAGCTGGAAAGTGTATGGCTTATTAATTATCTAATTAATAATCCACTGGCCAAAAGCTTTCAAATTGTGAAACTGAAGGAATTAAATCAGCCCATTTTGGAACCTACTACCAGTTCAGAGAAGCAGAATTTCCATCTCTATGTTGACAGGTATCTTTCAAAGACACAGTTGTTTGCCATGCACTTTTGCAAGCACAAGTGGGAATAAGTGGGCTAGCATAATTTGTAACCTATTGACTGTAAGAAAAGATAATGTAAAGTCCATCCAAAGCATCCATATGCTGCTGATTAAGAGCCTATTGCCTATCCCCATTATAAATGACAATTTCCCTGCCTTCTGAAATAGCTGTTACAAAACAACCATTAGGTCAGAAAATTACAGACATTATTCAGATACCACTTTAATATTATTTTTCAGTGTTTCTGAATTAAGAAGCAAATTCCAACTGAGAAGAGCCACTTAAGAAATTTACCTGGAAGGGAGAAAATAAACATCATCATATGATTATCACCTATCAAGGGATAAAAGACTTCAGCAATGAACTTCTACGCTTCCTCTCAATTGTACTAACAGTGAAGACTGAGCACCCATTATGTGTGCCTTCTCACCAGATAAAGTGTGAAAGTAGCTTCCATCACACGCCTAATATTTCTTTTAATTGCTTGGTGGATACACGGGCAAACAAGCCATGAGAGATACTTTCAGAGAACAAAGGGCCAACATAAAAATCATTTCTTCAGAATTAACAGAAGCTGGTTATGTTTAAGCTAGCATCTATAAGGCAACATAAAAGAAACAAAAGAAAGCAGCCTCCGTGTATGCTAGATGGATTAATTTCACTTACCATGAGCTATTAATCCATCTATGTAATGCTGTATGCTTTTCTTGCTCAGTGTAAGCTGTCACTGCTGTCAGCCTTCCCTAGCTCTCTCTGTTCACAGCCTGACATCAGCTCTCATTTTTTGATCATTTATTTTTCACCTTGGTCTGGTTCTCATCACAGCCATGTGTTGCTCTAAGTTGGTACAAGAGCAACTTGCACGAGCAAGGAAGTTTGGGAAAAGGACTGACCAACTATAGGTGACGGGATCCCTGTCCTAATGGCAGCACAGGATTATACTAGCCTTTAATAATCATCAGACTATGATACAGGACATGCATTTTTAGGCAAGATGAACAGTACTCAAGCAAGATGTTTATTTCTCCGCAAAACAGCTCAACTATTTTTTACAAGACAGCATGCTAATAGGGCGGTTTATATACCAATATATATTTTCCAGCCTCACTTTCAAAGTCCCAGCACATTCTACTCCCATCCAAATCCAGCAGGTGCTGCTAATGATCTCCTAGTTACCTGAATCCATATTGATTCATTGGTGGGTCCTGGAGCAGTCAGATTTTCTAGATCCCCCATTCTGTCGTATTGAAATACTGTGCCTGCCACTTTGTATTCACCATTCCACTGGATGATAAAGCCTCCATTCAGGTAGTATTTTTCTGGGTCTTTGCTTCGCACAGCAAGGAAATTTCCTGCTTCTGCAACTTCCATGACTTTGATTCCCCTTGCACCTTTTGGAATTAGCCCAATATCAACATATCCTAAGAGACAAGAAAAGTTCAACATGAGGTGAACAACGAAATTGTCATTGCATTTTACCTCTTGTAAGACTATTAAAACATCTGTTTTGTTTGAAAATATACACAAATGTGCTCTCACAGAGCTTGTATTTCAATTTGTTAATAGTATGATTTTCTAGTATGGATTGGGGAACCATGTTTTGGAAATGCCAGTGGCATTTAGAAGGGATATGGAGGTGAATGACTTTCTGAGCTGTACCGGGGGAAATCTACTCCACAGATGAGCATCTCCATAACCACACCCAAGGGCTCTGGCATACTGCGGTGTGAGCAATCTACAGTGAGAAATGCCAAGGTGTTCCAGCAAGTTAACAGTCCTTCTGGGAAACAAACCTTGTGGGAAAGGTTTTTTCAATTTTCAAAGAACATTTTCATCTGTAGCCAGTGTACAGGTATGTGCATAATTCCATGTACTTTCTCTTAAGTCATTTAACTTCTCTATGGCTGTTTGCCATAGATAGCCTTACAACAAAAAATGACTGTTATTCAAATGCCTCAAATTACTACTATAAACTGAACATATTTTTATCAACTACTGATTTTCATAACGAAGTACAAAGGCTCTTCATGTGTGAAGTTATCTGTTAAAAGATTTTCAGCCTGTGTGTCAAGAATGAACCCAGAGCACCTATTACAGAATTTTGTTTGTACCACAGTCAGTATATGACATCAGGGTCTGTGCTTCTCACCCTACAGGGAACTGCTATTGTTGCTACTGAACTGTAAAAATAGGAATTTCACATAGATATTTGAACACAAACTCAGATAGCTTTCTTGTTAGTGCTCCTAGCTGGGCTTTAGAAATTGGATGGATGACATCTCTACCAGCTGGTCTACTGGAACTGTGAGGTGCATTTTGTGCTGGTTTCTTCAAGATGGGAACACGAGTGGTTCCTCAGTTCTCATTTCACACTATTGAGGTCATGAATTAAATTCTGAGACTCACATCTTTGTTTACGTTTCTTCTGAAACAAGTTCATCACCTTCGATTGCTCACTCACATGAGTGAGATAAATCACAGTGGGCATACTAAGCAATCTTCAGTATCAATGTTCTCCACCTACCAGAACTATTTATATGTTGTAGAACAATCTGCTGTCGTAAATAAGTGCCCCCAAAGTCCTTAACATCTGAATTTTCTTCGCAGTTCTTTTGTGGGGTAATAAATATTAGTTACGTTTCTTGCAGTACAAAACAGGATCTGTCTATTTCAGGTCCTTCCTACTTACATTAACATTATATAATTATGTATATAGATTTCCAGTGATTGATGTTTAAGAGGGAGAGTTTTCTGGATGCTACCTTGACTGACTGTGGAAATCCAAACATTTCAATCTTTCAGGAGTGAATGAAATAACAAAATCTGGAGACTCACTGAATAACTTCTATTATTCATGAAATCAGTGGTCTAGGTCTATTGTAAGTAACCAAGTCTAATGACTCTCGCAGATGTTCTATTCATTCAGTACGGAGAAGACATGTTATGAACACAGTGTGTGATTATGTAACTAAAGATTTGAATAGAAGGCATACTTACAACTAAGCCAAATTAACATAGCATGGAAAATCTTAATTATGCCACATCCTGACAGCTTGGCTTTGCAATGCTGGTGTCCTTTTACAGTAAGCTGTTTTTTTTCCAGATGTAATTAGAATAACATGTTCAAAACACAATGTATAAAACAAACAAAATGAAATTTTTGGTCTGTTGCAACATGAAAATCTGTATATCCTTTCTCTCTTCTGCATAGTTGTTTTTGTCTGAATCATAAACATGATTTTAAATGTATTTCAGCTGTCTGACCATTTGGTCAATGTATCATACTGCCTTCTCCCTGGTCTTCCTTTTTTTCACCACTAAATTACCTCCTGATTTCCCAGAGCCTCTCACTGATTACCAATAAACATTATCTGATTTTGAAAGCAAAGCTAATCAGCAGCAAGCTTTTGAGCTTGTCACTCAACATAATAAATTTTTGTTTAAAAATTACGTGGATGGTGTTTATGTAATTGTTCCTGGTTATGTGGTTTCATCTGATAAGGACTAGAGATCCAAGATTCAATAACAGTCCAAATGTCAGCTGTCTTACCTACATGCTGTGCTCATTAAATCCTGGAGCAACCCTATTGTGGGTGCTTCTGCACACCTGTGAATTGGCAACTCTCAGATGCTATTAATACTTCCCTTTTTAATTAAAATTAAATCTATATGCTCCTAACACAGACGAATAAAGTCATGAAACCATTGTTGCAGGCACAGCTCTACAAGGACTGAAGAGCTTGTTTCTCTTTTCCCACTGCTGTGAGAAAGTAGTTTTTTCTCAGGCTGCTAACACAGCATGGCAGATCAGATGATAATCAGATCTGACTATTTCTCCTTATCACAACAGCTCACATTCTTGCTTTCCAGTCTGTTATATCTGCAAGCCTCTCTCTCTTTAAAGTATACCTTCCTGAGGCACAGCTTTCCTTTATGCCAAGCTCTAGACACTACCACAAGGATACTACAAGGAAAACAGCATAGGCTCCCAGTGGCATACTGGGTTTGCAAGTCCATGTATGGCTGCACAGAACCTTTCATTGGAATAGAGGTGTTGTAGTGTGTGACAGGAATGGAAAAAAAATTTATAGTCTAGAGACAGTATTGCTAGTGAGGATCAAAGAGACCTTCCAGTCTCTCAGATCAGTGTTTGCATCATGGCTACGTCCAGAGTCCATCTCAGGGTTCAGAGTGAGGTTTAGGAATATACTAGATCTCTGTCTGCACTTTGATTGCATGAAAAGGAAACTGGGATAGCAGCCAGTCCATGGCATATGCCTGTTCAGTCCCAGTCAAGTCAGGAGGTAATAGAATCTGGATAAGTCTCCTGGTTAGGGTGAGCACATGCAAAAGGGTGAAGATAGGACAATTAATCATCCCTATGACCACCACTTGTTTTGTAGACACACCTCCACCATGGGCAGATTCCTCTGTCTGATGTTGACAACCTCATTCCCCCTATTGGTCATCCATTTCCTCCACACTCCCTGCAATTAACACAGTCCTAAGACCCTGCTCCGTGTTCCTCAGTCTTTCTCTACTCCAGTGCTTCTCCTGATCCAGCAGTGCAGTTTACTGTCATTCCAAGGAGCTTGCACACCTTGCAAATGTCCTGTTGTACATAGTTATACTCCTTTACAGTCATTACAACACCACCAGTAAAAACAAGGATTTTGACTTTCACATACTCTACCTTCAAACTTTTCTTTCTGAACAAAAGGTAGTAAGACTTCAGGTAAAATTGGTCACCCTGCCCTGCAAGGAAAGGCTGAATTACTAAAACTCTTTCCTAGCATTTCACTAATCTGACTTAGTTAACTTGCAGACAACACATACCGCTGCAGAATTAGACCCAGGAAGGGCCCTGCTGGACTTAGGCTCTGAACAGAGATTTAAGTTAGAATATATTAGCTTTGATTTTGTATTTTTCTGTGCCATTGAATATGGAAAAACTCCTCAAAATCTTCTTTTCCGGTGACTGGCATCATGCTTCAGTACAGTTTTGTTACTTATACTGAATTTATGAGCCTAAAGTTTTTCTGTTTACATAAACTGTTCAGCAGCCACTCTGCTATAAATCTGACAGAACACCACAGTATCTGTCAGAGACAAAAAGAAGCCATATATTGTGAACAAAAAAAACATTTTTCTATTCCCAGTTTAACACCTGTGAACATCATTGAGATCCACACATCGTCTTGAAGAGCCCACCAACCTCTGCCTTGCCTGACACTTTTCCCCTTATTTTGTCTGCAATGGAGTCAATGTCTACAGAAGGGAGAGAATCTGCAGAATCTACATTTTTCACTGAATTTAAAGAAAGCGATAATACTTAACACTCAGTATCCCTGACCAGTATCTGTCAGTGAGGCTGACTGAATCTCTAGGCAAGCAAAAACTAAATGAAGATATAACACAAAATGAATTTAAACAAAATAAGAGGCACTTAACCTTCCATGTGTTACAGTATTGGACCTTTTCAGTAAAACTGTTATTTGAAAATGAAGTTCGCATCATCTATAGCCTTGAAAAACTCACAGACAGTCAAAGGCAGAGTGAATTTTAGATTCAGAGAAGTAAAAGATCAGAGGTTGAAGGATTACTGTAGTATTGGAAGAGAGGGAGCTCTAGATTTTCCTTAGTAAGTGTCACATACACATGCAACCTCCTGCAGGATTTCAGGCATCTTCACAGTTCACCTTTGGGGAACAGAGAAAAGGAAAGCAAACCCAAGTACACAGTATGGAAAAAAAATCCTGAAGTATTTAATGTACTTTTACCCTGAATTTTGGAAAATCTTATCAAACTAGCTTTAAATTAGTAGCAAAAATCATTCTTGTGCAAACCAGAACTATTTTATTTAAAAAAACCCACAAACCCAAAAGCCAGCCAAAGGCACACTCTCAGTGCAATTTTTCCCTCCTCACTAGCACGGTACCAGTTACTGATCTTGAGACTTCTCAAGATCAAGGCACCAGCCTCTTTTTTCAGCCACAAACCTCGCTTTAAGATTGCTCTCCAGTGTCTCATCTTCTCACCTCTCCCCCTCCTGTCCTGGTTTCCCATTCAAAGCTGTTCATCCTGGCTGTCTCTTCCACTTCCAGCTCATCGCTACAGTTCTTATTCAGGTTTAGTCTCCCACTCCTGCTCCCAGACTCTATGTCTCGGACTCATCCTACTTAAGTCAGCTTAAGGCCTGAATGTCTCACCACCGTCAGTGAAGAAAGGCTCAGTACTTTACGTGCTTATTCAGACCACCTCAACCATGAAGAGAGTTACTCTTAGGCTCCCCTTTATGACACATAAAAATGAATCCTCAAACCACTCACTTTACATCCAGGTTTTCTGAGATGGCAAATTACATTCATTTTGTAAATGCACTTGCTATTTTGGATTTTATTATTATCTGCCTAACTTGCACAGGACCTGTTGGTCTCTGACAATTTTTTAAAAGACAAAGGTGAACTTAAAAAGCACAGATCACGGATTTTTTCTGGCAGAAGCGTGATTCACTGAAACATCCATTTATTATTTCCCACGCAGATGATCACTCAGTTTGCAACAAGAAGCTCTTAATCCTTTTTATGTAGAGAAATGACTTCACCAGCGGAAGAATTTAAAAGAAGAACCCATATTACCAAATCCTTCACTTTGATTAAACATCATCTTCACTGTATGACAAGCAGAGCCGTCTCCCAGGCAAACTCCACACTGGTCTTCTGTTGCATTGGAATTTATCTCATAATCACAGCCAACAGTCTAGAAGGAAAAATATTTTCAGAATAAATGTGGCCTCCACAATGAATTACTGAGAACTGCTATATCACTGCACTTTTAAGAAGTGTGGAATAGTATATATCCTATATATAGGGGAATAGTATATATCCTATATAAACAAACTAATAGTAGAGATTGTTATATGTAGGTCAAACTTGAGTATTATACCAATGTGAAAAACAAACTAACAAACAGTAACCATCACCATGGCATGAAACATACAGTAGTCACCAGTTACTTGAGATAGAAATGTGCCACTCAAATGGCCTCAATATCTGGGATTGGCCAGTACATCTAGGATATGTGTCCACTCTCTTACGTCACAGAGCCATCCACAGATTCCCAGGAATACAATACAGTAAACAGAATTGAAATCTCTGTCAGTTTTTTGTGGCCATCTGACAGTGCCGAACCTCTACTGCAGTCAAACTCCCTGGTAAAGAGAAACTCTTCAGCAGGCATGAATTTTTATACCCGTGACAGCTGCTTCTCAAGCTTGTCAACATCAGGGCATGGGTCAAGATAAAGTTCTGGTAAAGACTAATTTTCCAGTTCATGCTTGCTGCAGGGATAAAGTGAGAGAAAAATTTATTCATACCTAGTCAGGAAAAAACTTCTTCCTTGCCCAACCCAAAAATTCTGTGCTCTAATGTCTTTAAACTTCAACAAAATTTTCATTTGTTTTGGGATTTTTTTCTGCCTCTCTTCAAACCCAAGTAAGATTGCAGAACACAACCTAATGTCTGACAATGAATGGTTGTTAATAGTATCTAAGATACCTGGATGCCTGTGATATAGATGAATAGCCTTAAGTCTGGTGGTATGTAAAGGTTTTCTCAGATGAATTCTCTCAAAATAAGCTTTCAGGTACTATACCTGCCAACTTCTCTAACACCCTCTTGATGTATGAAAATCTGGGTATTACATCTTCCGATTCTGATTTTATTTTATCTTCAGGACCTCAGCTACTGTAATCTGTAAGCTTCTGACAGGAAAATCACTCTGTTAGACTAATCTAGGTACACAGGCTTCCACATTCTCTAATATTTCTCTATCATTTTCAGCTTAAGAAATACCTGAACTTTTGTCTAAGTGCCAGTGTTTGAATGAACAATTAGAGAAACTGCAAAAAACAGAAGCAAGGAAAGGCCTCAAGATACAGATGGTGTCACACTTTGTCACTTTAGAGAAGATTCAAAAAAAAGACTCATCCATTACTTAATGCCAGTAGATAGCCAGCACATTTGACATCTACTCTAAAAAACAACAGCCAGGCCAAAATGTTCTGCAGCAGCCTTAGCTTCTCTCTCCTTTCAGCGAAGGCCACTTTCAAAAAATGGAAGGTTTTGTAATGTCTTGCACACAGACACATCCTGGCACCAAGGACCATGCTTATGAGCAGTACACAATGTTACAGAGATAAGCATATGTTAAGAAGCTGAATAAATTTTTGCCTCCAAGCACATAGCTTGTTCATCCAAGGATGGATTTAATCAAGTATTCAGAATACACAGACACCACTGCTATATGTACACGATGTTTCTTTATCTTGCCAAGAGTTCAGATCTGCCTCTTCCCCAGCTATCTACAGAGGCACTGGAGTTTATATTTAACACTTCCTAATACTTTAAAGAGGTTGGTGAGTTGCTGTTTCTCAAAGTGATGCATTCACTATAAACAGTAAAGTCATAGTTATCGGGTTTATTATTACACTAGAGGAGAAACCACCTACTCTGGAGAGTCATGGAAGTGGAAGTTTATTTTCTTTCTATGCACATATACACTATTGAACAGAAAGCTGGTGAAAATCTGGAAATGGAACCCTTGTACTTTATGCTTTGCTATTAGAAAATATTATTAATTACTGTTTTGCAGCTCCTCTTTTGAACATCTTAAAATAATGATTTGTCTTCAAACTATATCATTTTTCCCATTTCTGGTAGAAAATGTATGTTCTTGAAAAGATTCCTGTTCATCTTTATTTACTATCCATGTTTGTTTGAGAGACTGAACACAGAAATAATTTATCTAGTTCACATTGTCAATCAGACACTTGGAAATCAACATCAGTGAGCATATTTCCCTTCTGAGTACTGTGTAGTGTAAAAATTCCCAAAGGGTGAACAAATCAGTTCTGAACTGTAGCAGCACTGGTTCTAACTGAGGTGGCAGCACCACTTTACAGCCTTTGGGTTGCCAATTAGTGTCTCTGCATGAGCTGCACTCCATCAGCTCAGTCAGAATCAGCTCAGGCCTTTTCCTCTTGGCCATACATTTGTTTTAGCAACACATTTGTGGCATCAAAATATGACATCGCTCTGATATGAAGGGAATCCCTTTGTCCTTTCCAGTTATAACCATAGAAATTTGTATTGCATTTTTCCTCTTCACAGAACAGTTTGAAACAGTTTTTATCTGATCAGATATCAGCCTTACCTATGCATGCAATATTCCCATATATTCTTGAGTTGCTGGGATACCCAAACTGCTGTGGCAGGGCAGACAATTCACTGTGCCTTCATTTTGTTCCCTAGTTCTGGGGTGCTGATGGTGCTGCAAAGACTTTCATATCTAGCAACAAGGGCCTCATCTTACAAAGCCATGAAGAACCATGACAAAACAATATTTTCATATGTCAGAATAAACAGCATTTTATTTACTCTAAATACATTTTCATGAACTTTAATTTCCAGACCATGTTTTACTTTATCACTCCAGTGAATACCACATTACTTTTGTCATCCATTAGAATAATTTCTAGATGCTTTCTTCTCCCTTTTGTTTGCTTTCCTCATTATTCTGATTCTTCTAGATGGATGGGTCATGCTTTCTAAAAATGCCTCAAATTTTTCAGAAAGTCAACATGACCCAGCAATGTACACTCACAGCTCAGAAATCCAATCTTGTCCTGGGCTGCATCCAAAGCACTGTGGCCAGCAGGGCGAGGGAGATGTTTCTGTCCTTCTGCTCTGGTGAGACCCTACTTGGAGAACTGCCTCCAGCTCTGGGGTCCACAACATAAGAAAGAAATGGACATGTTGGAGCGAGTCCAGAGGAGGCCACAAAGGTGATCAGAGGGCTGAAGCACTTCTCCTATGGGCTGAGAGAGTTGCGGTTCTTCAGCCTGGAGAAAAGGCAGCTCTAGGGAAATCTCAGCGTAGCCTTTTCGTGCCTAAAAGGGTTACAAGAGAGCTGGAGAGGGACTTCTCACAAGAGCATGTAGTGATAGGACAGGGAGAATGCCTTTAAACTGAAAGAGTGCGGGTTTATATTAGATATCAGGAAGAAATTCTTTACTTCTGGTGAGGCATTGGCACAGTTTGGACAGAGAACTTGTAGATGCCTCATCACTGAGAGTGCTCAAGGACAGGTTGGATGAAGCTCTGAGCAACCTGGAAGCAGAAGATGTCCCTGCCCATGGCAGGGGGAGTTCGAACCACGTGATATATAAGGTCTATTCCAACTTGAACCATGCTGCAGCAATTAGGATGCAATTCTTTTACACACATACGTCCTTTTGCACCCTCTCCCAGTGAAACATGCTGTGCTACATCAACCACTCTGTGCCATGGCATTTGCAACACAAACCATCATCCCTCCATGCAGCCCTTTGCTGCTGCTCCACTCACCAAGAGCCTTTCTGATGCCCCTGAGACACAGGTCACAGCATGCAGTGCAGAGGCAGACATAATGACCTGAACTGCCTGGCTGCATTACAGGAAGGAGAAACAATTTATTTCCTGCTGCTTGGTGACTAAAGGGAAAACAGCCAGAGATATTGCCCTTTTTCCATTTCCAGAGGGAGAGGTTTTTGTGTCATATTGGCAGCAGGAGGCAGACACAAAAAGTCCTTACTGTCACTCAAGGGTATGGCCTGGATGTACTGCCTGAATATCTGTTATGTGAATAGTACACTGCACTTCAATAAGGTCTTTTTTCCATTTGTCTCCCCCGCTGGTCTTCAAATAAAGAAATGATATTCACTTTACATTGGCCATGACATTGCCCTGAATGGGGAGGAATGTGTCCTGATGTCACTAATTTACCCTCTAATTTGTCCATATGAGTCTGAATCAATGTCCCCTTGGGCTAGCAATGGGAAAAGAAAGCTGAACCATAGTGAAAGGCAGTAAAGCTACTACATAGAAATTCAAGCTCTGTAATCTGCTCTTCAGTAAGGGAAAAAGGCTGATTCCCTCCCTAGGACTACACAGCTGTGTAATTCTCCAACAAAATATCAGTCTCTCAACATAGCAACTGTGAATTATCACAGAGAATAGGTCACAGATTTGCATGACTGAAGGTCACTTAAGCCTATCAGAATTCTTTTCAGGAGATGAGTAGTTGCCAGAAACATCAGAGATGCCAGTTCATGCACTTGCAAGCCTTCATTTTTAGATGATGCTATGGCTTGTATTTAACCAAAAGTCCCTGTTATGTATATATCACTGCTAAACAAATAAACTCTGGTGGCAGTGTCTTTGCTTTCTAATACTGGGGGAGTAGCTGACTGATCCAGTGAGAATTAGAGTGCATTTTTGATGTATAATTTAAAACACATGCAAACAGATTATGTGCTTTAAAGATCTTATAAATAAAAGGGGAAAGTGACAATTAAAAATGAGTGTGGAGGAATACAGTAAAAAAAACAAACTAGTCATAATATAGGTTGATGATTTGAGAGTAAATTATTGAAAGATCTTGTCAGATCTCCTCTTGGTAGAACTCTTCTCCTGTGTAAGATGAGAGAGGACCCAACTATTTCATATGCCAGACCCTCAAATGAGATAACAATTTTAGCTTGTCTTTGAACTGACAAGGCAAGTTCTAAGGGAATACCATACTCACACCTCAGTTGTGCCTTCCTTCTGCACTGAGGCGCAGGCAGCACTTCTAGAAGATTAGGACTGACATACTGGACAAATTGCAAGGACCAAATGAATCAGCACTAGTGTCTGCCTGTAGTTACTTCTCACTTGAAGATGCACGTTATGGCTTTGTCAGCATGGTTAGGAAAGCAACCAGCATACCTCGGGTAGCTGAAATGACACATCTCAAACCACATTTAGCCACCAAAGTAATACCTGTTTCTCTGATTGCTCTGAACAAAATCATGGCAAACTGCAAAAATCAGACGGAAATCAGATGAACTTAGAAGATTAAATTCTCAATTTAATATGATTCCATCTATCTTTCTTTGGCATACCCACTAGGAAAACTCTGAACCCTCAGTTGATAAAAAGTAGCTACCCTACACCAAATACACGTGAGAAATACAGACAATGGATCTAACATCTCAGTAATCTGATTTTTTGCTCAATTTCAGACCAAAGTGTAGTGTTATTTTCGTACTCAGAACAAATGTGAAGTGGTTTTTTGAGATGTAGTTTTGAAAACCAGAACAGCGCTTTAATAGACTAATGTTTGTGAATGTCTTTTCCACATCATTAGCACCATTCTGCAATCAGACTACAAGAATGATGTACCAGGCTAATTATATTAAACTAATTCTCCATGACCTGCAATGTATGTATTGTGTTTAACTAGCTGGTCTAAAATACTGGTGAATTAGACGAAAATACATGAAAAAGCTTCTTCTCAAGTGTTAAGCTGGGTACCTATTTCAGACAGCTTTCAATAATATGAGCTATTTTGGTTACCTATTCATCATTTGGTCTCATTTGTGGTAGTTGTACGGTTATATTGTTTATTTTGTGATCCTGATTCCAATTAAATCTGTTTGTCAGGAGATGTGAAGCAGCAGTCAGGATGTGAAATGGTGACAAAACCAGTACCTTGGAGGGAATTTTTCAGAAACCCTTCAAGTCCACAGAATGCTAATGTATATCTAGGATCTACAAACTGCAATTAGATTAGCTTCACTTTCACCCTAGATCTATCAATTCTAATGAATTAAGCTTTGCTATGTATAAAATATGTATAAATTTTAAAAGTCGCAGGCAAAGCTCAATACGGAAAGCATAGGGAAACTAAAATTAATCATACTGATCCCAGCCTAACTGAGCTGGAAATCAGAAAATTAACATATCACAAAGACAATCTTCTGAGTTTAGCAACTGGCCTCTTCCAAGTGAAGGTCAAAAGCATTGATATGGTAAGCCAGATTTACTACATGTTTCAAAATGCTAAAGGTCGGATTCATTCTGCCTTGAACTGCTCAAAGCCAGGTCAGATCTTTCACCATCATAGTTCAAAGGCCCGCTCTGGCTCTCAGCAAAGTAAGCTAAGCAGATCTCTTCAGCGTGGACTTGAGTAGGGTTTTGGTAATTCCCTTTCACAAAGCAGCTCTTGCAAGGAAAACTTAAACCAAATCTTTTATTACTGCTCTCTGAAGCCCTGTCATTCTAGCAAAATAAAAAATTTAAAGGGAGGGTATATGAATCACCCATTAAGAATGTGGAGTTTCCATCACTGGAAGTCCTAAGAAAAGAACATGAAAAACATCAAATAGGAATATAATTTGCAAAGGGATAAAACAGATGCCTTCTTGAAGTCCCAGCTAGTTGCACTTTTATATGATTCAATGGTGTAGAATATACAGTCCCAAGACTGGATATGCTAATGCAGTTTCCACAAGCCACAAAGTCCGGCTTTTGTTTCCAAAGATGTTAAAAGCAAAAAGGCTATCGGGCTTCAAGGGGGTAGAAGACACAAAAACTCAGTTTGAAGAAACAAACCGTAGCTGTAAATACATTTCCTACAAGTAAAGTACTCATTTTATTTATAAGAAATTCACTAAAACCAGTGTTAAGACTGTGGATGTTACAGAATGTACAGATGTTCAGATGCCACACACAAACACCATCCTGGAAACAAACCTACTACCAACATGCAGAATATGCACAGTCCATTATACTTATTCTTCAATACAAAGAAAATTACTGAGCCATATATTCTGTTTGCCTGTTATCTCATTGTACAGTGTTATTCAGTATGTTGTAAACTAAAGTAATTTTTACAGTGCAAATGTCTGATCCCAAGATCACAAGATGGTTCAGAACTGCTACATGTGTATTGTTACACTGCATTTTCATAAAAAAACCCATGGACAATGGTGGAACCAATTAAAACCCTAAAGGTACAACCCCCTGTGAAAACATCTCATCAGAAAAAACCAGATTTTTTTTACACTGATGTTTTAAAATAATGGAAAAGAAGAGAGGAGTTAAAAGGTACCAAAAGTAATTAGCATGCAGTCTAATGCATTCATTAAAAAGTGTGTAAACAACTTTTGTCTACTTGGAAAGCTGTTTCTATAAACTTGCTTCCATGGTCATTAAAAATGTGATAAAATGGAGTACTTTGCCTTGATCCTACAAAAAGAATTGTTAAGTATTTTCCCATAACTTTGTAAAATAAAGTTGTAGAGAAAGAAACATGCAAACATACCCAATACCTTACACATGCCATTAATACAGATATCTCGGCTGTGCCTTCCTTCAAAGCAAGGAGTACCATCAGTGACTGCATCAAGCATCTTCTCTGAGAAATGGCCATCTATTGGGCGACAGTGGAGCTCACAGGGGTTTGCTGAAAGGAAAACAAAGATACTTTCTCAGACAATACTTCAGGACATTGCACTGCACAGGGAGTGACAGTATGCCTTTACTGAACCATCTGCTCACTTTCCCTGGCATTTCGCAGAACTGGCCTAATTAGAAGAAGTGAGCAGAGACAAGTCATATTGCTAAGAGTGACACAGGCCTGATAAATACCACTTGTGGATTTGTAGGAAGCAGCTGGAGGCAGGTACCCTCATACCTGCATGCTCTTCATCGCTGCTGAGTTAGGCAGTAATGAGCCTGTCAGCTGTGATGGAGAAAGGGAGAGGAAACCAGCAAAGCCACCTGTCATTAGTGAGGGGGTGGGAATGCCAAGGACCTTGACAAGAAACAGTTTTCCATCGACTGATGACTCAGTAATTTTAGAGATAATTTAGACTTTTCATCACTGCTGTCAGTCTCTCTCAGAGAGCAGTCAAATGGTTGCTTCTGATCTGCTGCACATCACTGATCGTTTTCACCTACCTCTGGGTACTTAACAAATCATTCAAGCACTGCTTGGCAACTTATGAAATAGGGATGATATTGGTGAGTCTAACAGACCCAGGCTGTTCTTGGATAGATGTCCCATGGAAGCAACAAGGAGGAGAAAAGCTGTAGTAAAAGCAACCAGTGGTCTCTGAAACAAGACTTTCTGTGATGGATCAGAACCCTATTCTATTCCATCCACGGAGTAAGAAGAGTTGAACACACACTGCCCTGCCTCACAGACACTGGCTCTTGGGAATGGGAAATTTTGAAATTCAGACATCAGAGAGCCAAGTTTGACAAACAAATTGTGTACATGGAAGATGAGTTAGAGATGAAACTAGGGCAAAGCAAAGAGAGATGTATCCACTCCCTGAAAGAGAGATGTATCCACTCCCTTGTATCCACTCCCTGAAAACTCTCCAGCAGAACCAGATCTATATTAAAAATTGATGAGGGGTAGCAACAGAGGACCTGTCTTCTAGTTTTGGTCTATTCCAAGACCCCAGTCTAGCCTGGTGCTAAAGCAAATTGTTCATGCTCAGCAAGCTGAAATGCTTTGCTGAGCAAAGTAGTGGGCCTTAAAACCACCAGTCAGTAGGGACTTGAAGGCACCATTATTGAGTCATTTTAAAAAAATCTCCCTGTGTGCTGCAGAGGAGCTACTGGTCAGTGACAGTTTTATCCTGTGCCTGATAGAGTTGACATAAACCACTCCCTTGGTCATAGAGGGATGCAGGGTAACAATTCACATGGTGGCAGATGAATTTCTTTCTTCCTCCTTTGTTGGCCTCGTTTGTGTCATATGAAGAACAGTGTTTAAAGAAATTTCTAGAAATGAGAGAAACTGAAACTTCTGGTAATGCAAATAAACTAAATAATTTGCTACAAAAGGATTTATTATTTTGGAGGAGGAAAATTTGCTCTCATTGCACCGGTTTGTGCAGCACCAACATATATACTCTACCACACAGTACACAAAGGTGACTGCAGCTCCTGCCCTCAAAGGGTTTGAAGCTTAAGAACTGAATCCTAAAGAGCCTGAGCTTTAGTACTATAAACCTCATTCATGTAAATAAAAACTCTGTAAAACTGGGATTAAAAAAAAAATTAATGAAAGGATGGTAAAGGAAATCCAAAACCTTAATGAGAACTTTTGTTTTTTCCCTCATCAGTAGAGGTAAAATGGTATCTTAGGACTGTCAACAGTGTTGTGCTTGTGGCTTCTCAAACAAATATGCCTTCATAAAGTGCAATTGAGTTATCAGACCCGGAGGACATGCATGGACCAAGGTCATATAACTGGTGGAATTCAAGGTGATGTGAGTTGTGTTCAAGAATATTGATGGAAGCGGAGCTACAAAAGATTCTCAAGCAAGAACATAAAGTTTGTGACCCTTACCAGCCCTCAGCCCCTCTGTGAAAATGGCCAGCCATAATACCTATCCATCAGTTGTTTTGATAAGAGTCATCATGATAAAGGATACAAGTAATTTTACTTCTGGAGAAATCTTTTTCAGACCATGTGATTATCTGGATTGCTTTAGTGCTCTAAATTTAGTTTCACCTTGCCTACCTTCTCAATGAGGCATTTTTTAAACAGGAAGAAAAATACCCTTAAGACAACAAGAATCCCAGAATTCCAGGTACTCTGTTACCTGCTCAGAATCACCCCCGACAGACACAGAAGCTCATTTCAGCTTTTACATTGTTTGTAATGAAACATATAGAGCAGCAGTTTGATATCTGTACTTCCTCCCTAGTTGTGTGTTGATGTAATAAGCAATTTCATTTCAGAAATCACTAAGCAAGAAGCAAGAAGCAGCAGACAGTACTGACTGTTCACACATTCCTATCATAACTATGATGCTGTAAATATATAACTAAAAATCAGTTTGGCGAGAGAGATAACTCCCCTACTAAGTCAAAATAAAAATTAAAAGTAAATAACACACAAACTTTCAGACTTACATAGGTTTTCTAGGCATTAAAGCTTCCCTGGTTTTCCTAATTGTAGTAACTGATCTGAAATAGATCTTACACACAAATTTTGCATTGCTTTTCTTTCTATATATTTTCTACTGAGCCCCACAGGAAATGAGAGAGCATTTCTCCCTCCACACAAACTTAGTTCTATCCAGTATTTATTTGATTTTTCATCTGCAGAAAGGCTGGTTAGGGGACCTAATTATACTAGTACTGTATTTTCTAAAATTATTTACTTATCTATAGTTATTATTTATTATGGTTTAAGTCAGGGACCTTGGGTCTATTATTCCAGGACTACAAATAAACTGTATCAGAATCAGCCACTGTCCTCTGAAAGTCTGATGTTTTAAACCCAGAACAGATGCAGAAAGGACTTTCATCTATTTTCAGAAGGCAAACTCACACACAAGGAAAACAAATACATTTCCTGAAATGTAAACAAATACATTTGCTGAAATGATGGAAGGCTGGCACTGAATTCAGACTATTTTTCTTATTTCGGTCCTGAAAAGTCTAAGCTGAGATGAATATGAGCACCACGGTTGTTCAGAAGGAGATCATTAAAGCAGCTGGTTAAGTTTCAGTTACTTCAGAAATTACTAATTCATGCTGAGACTTTAACAAAAAGGCTGTCATCTTTGTAACTTTTAGGCCAAAATATACATAAATTCTTGCAATACAGCATACACATGAAATACTAGATCCAATCTGTGAACACTCAGGTAATGACCACGTTCACAAAGTCCTTGTTCAAAGAAAGCACACCGAGTTCCTGTTTAAACAGAGATGATTTCTCCTTGCATAAAACCTACAGAATTTTACTCATCCTTCCACACCAAAGCAGAATCAAAACCACTTAGACTGCTCTGGCTTATATTGTATTTATATCTAGAACAATAATATTAATTCCTCAAACCCTACAGGTAATTGCTCTTAACACTTAACCACCAATAGTTAGATCGGTGAAGATTTCTTAATGTGTAACCTGAAGTTCCCACCTGCTGTTTTGGCTGTTTCTGCTTGTCATACCTTTCATGGACAGGAAGAACTGCTGGATCTGTCTCTCTCTGGGGTTTCCTGTACTGTTTGAGTGGAGGGGATGGGAAGTTGAAATATGAAGTACAGTGACAGAAAACGATGTCAAATCCAAGTTTAAAAGCAGAGGAGCTACATTCAAACTGAGTTGGTAAGATCAGGGTGTCCAGCTTCGTGAAGTCAGTTAACAAGGCCACAGAACTGCTTGGATCTCAAGAGCTTCTTCCAGACTTGAGCACAACACTGCACAGAGACATGCAGTCTGGCTAGCCTGTATCTCTACTACTCAGGGATGTGCCTGCTAAATAGTCTTTGAAATTTTCTCTGAGTAGTTGGTATTTAACTGTCTCCTTCTCCTCCTTTCCAGAGTAAAAGTTGCTTTTCTCAATCTATGTTTTTCTAATCACACAATCACAGCATGCTTTGGGTTGGAAGAGACCTTAAAGATCATCCATCCTTTCTGCCAAGGGACAACTTCCACTAGACCACATTGTTCAAGGTCCCATCCAATCTGGCCTTGAACAGGGATGTGGCATCCACAACTTCTCTGGGCAACCTGTTCTGGTGCCTCACTACCCTCGCAGTCAAGATTTTCTTCCTTATTTATAATCTAAACCTGCCCTCTGTCAGTTTAAAGCCATTCCCTTTGTCCTGTCTCTACATCCTATGCTTGAAAAAAGTCCCTCAGTGACTTTTTGACTTCCACATTGCTCTCCTGTAAACCTCCTCCAGTTGGCTGCATCCTTCTGCCAGTACTTTGCTCCTATCTGGACATAAGATTTCAGCTGAGGTGCCACCAACACTTAGCAGCCTAGAAAAATTCCATCTATTCTTTTACGTAGCGCCCACGTCCTTCACCAAGATTATACTGCTAACTTGACCAGAGACAACATCAATCCTCTAATACAAGGGAGAAAAACAGATGTAATGGAATCCCAAGCCATAGAGCTCCCGTAAGTGCCCAGTGAATTATCTGTAATCAGAATGGACTGAGGAAGCAAGCCAGCAAAGCTGGCATGTGATTTTTTTTCCCCCTATCTATACTATAACAAAGTTCAGATTCACCATGTGCAAACAGAACAACATGAAGATAACTAGAAGGAATGTATTTCCTTCCCAATTTAAATTTGTTTACCTCGTAGCTGACTCCCATGAGTTCCCATGCAAAAAGGATCCAGCTTAACCTGACTAAGAAGTATGTAATTAATGTGTCTGTCAGTAGAAGATAAGGCTTCAATGTTTTTCCCTCCTTCACAAGGAAGAAAAGAGGTGGGCCTCTTCTCTTCAAACCCTCACCTCTATGAGAACTCAGAATTAGCTGTGGAAATCCAAATCAAAGAAAATTAGAAAAGACAATTACCAAACATAGACAAAATGGGGGGAAAGAAGCTCAGGTGAAGCTACTTGATCACTTTAACCAAGTTTGGAACTCCAAAAGAAACTACTTTTATTTTAAAACAGTGGCAGTAGAAACATTATTTCATGTTGTTAGCTCAGCCACTGTGACTGTATGAGAACTGATCTTACTTGATACACAGACATATTTTGAAATAAATACGAAATTGAAAACAGTTTAACAACATAACCTCTATCTGACAGTATATTAAATGATCCTGGCACTGATTGAGAAAATAAAGGTGGTTACAAAATACTAAAGTTACATGATAATAAGGTTAGTCACATGATCTCATACGTGGAAGTTAAACCCTGAGAAGTTATCAGATTCATATAAATTGAATTTGTCAGTGGTATGAAATAAACAAATCTGGGGTCAGCCTGATGGCAAGAGAAGTAGATTAGCCCCAAAGTCTGACTAAACTGACAGAATAGGGGCCTGGGTCATGAAAAAAATTCAGCAAATATCCTGCTTAGAGCCGCTGGATGGTTTAGTCACCCTTGAACTTGAAAGTCCTCATCATTTTAAGGCTCCCAGAGATACTCAAAGGTTCCAGCTTGAGCACATATGTTTCTGCAGTCCAGAACAATTCCATTAAAGGACTATGCGAGTTTCCCAACAGGCATGAAGTCATTTAAAACAGAAAATTCTGAACTGGAACCTTAAACATAGGCAGCCTAGGTAATAGCAAGATATAACTTACTGCTTCTCTGCCAGGCTGCTTGTTAAAGCTGTTTGTTGCATCGTTGTATACTAAATCATAAGCTATGCAAAAAAAAAGTCTTCGTCCTCTTGTGAAAGTACAATTTACACAACAGAAAAGACTATTTAGTTATGTGACATTTACTATAACTGCTTTACGTAAGCTACGAAATTAAAGCCAGAAGATGCAGTTGTGACCATCCAGATAATTTACTGTTTTTTCCAGCAGGATGAAGGAACACAGAATGTCTAAAATGTCACAGAATGTCTAGCTCAGGAATTCACCTCCTCAGCTTGACACATCCACGCAAAATCTGTATGTGTACTCAGGGTTTAGGAAAGCTTACTTTTCTTTTCCCCTTATATCCTATGTGCAGCATGACAGGATTTAAAATGACTGACACTAAAACACAAGCTGTATGGGGTTTGCGTGGCAAGATTCTCGTAGTGGGGAGGGCTGCAGGGGAGGCTTCTGTGAGAAGCTGCCAGAAGCTTCCCCCATGTCTGACAGAGCCAATGCCAGACAGATATAAGATGGTCCTGCTGCTGGTCAAGGCCAAACCCACCAGCGAGGGTGGCAGCACTTCTGGGATAATGTATGTAAGAAAGGGAAAAAAACTGCTGCACAACTGCTGTCAGGAGAGAGGAGTGAGAATGTGTGAGAGGAATAGCTCGGCAGGCACCAAAGTCAGTGAAGCAGGAAGGGGAGAAGGTGCTCCAGGTGCCAGAGCTGAAGTTCCACAGTCCTCATTCCACATCCCACTACTCTGCTGTGGGGGAAGAGATAGACAAAATTAAGAGTCAAGTTAAGCCTGGGAAGAAGAGAGGAGTGGATGGAAGGTGTTTTAGAGTTAGATTTTTATTTCTCATTACTATTCTCTGATTTGATTGGTAATACACTAAACTAATTTCCCCAAGTCAAGCCTGTTTTGCCCATGATGGTAACCAGAGAGTGATCTCTCCTTGCTCTTTTCTTGACCATCAAGCCTTTTGTTATATTCTCTCTCCCTTGTCCAGCCTAGGAAGGGAGTGACACACTGGCTTTAGTGGGCATCGGGTGTCCAGCCAGGATTAACCCAGTAGAAAAGCCAAAACCTTCTTGGCAGCAAGCTAAAGTATTGACAGAACACTGTTAAAAATCTTTAATATTGGATTGCACAAGTAAAGGGAGAAAGTAAGGGAAGCTGGTATACACTGACAGTGGTTGGTGTACTCACAACATTGTGGACATTGTAAGTAAGTCTCAAAACCAGCTTGTTTTTGTGGGGAAAGTGTGCCCATAAGAACCACCCACGCTCAGCTATACAATGACGATGTCAGATGAAGAACCAGCACAGAATTTGTCCAACTCTCTGCTTATATGAGTGTTACTAGGAGAGCCTGACTGTCTGAGGAAGCCAGTATTATTTTAAGTTTAGAGTTTAGCAGCAAGAAAACACTTCAAATGCTGTTAATAGAGTGTAAGACTGAAAGTGCAAATATTAAGGACCTCATAATAATGGGGAAAACACATAGGCTGAAATTCTGGCTGCTGAGAAAATGGGTGAAAACAGCTGAAAAGCTTTTTAAGTCACAGAAAAAGATGTTTTCTTGGTACTGGAAGGATTTTGCAAAGGATGTTCCAGATGAAATATATCAGACTCATCAGGAAGCATTTACTTTTAAAATGCTATGCCTTACAGTGGGCAGGAAGCATTTGTTTCATGATTCTTAATGTCCTTTAAAAACAGACCTTCTGCAACAAGTCCACGTGCAGAACTACCACTTCAGTAGCACTACCCAAGAGAGGACATGAACAAAGCCAAGGCTGTACACTGCAGTGGTACATCCTGATTAACAGAGGTCTGGAACCCTAATTTCAATGGCAGGTGACTGCAGAAAATGTTCTAAGGTTTGGTTTTGGTCTCAACCTTAGGCTGTTATCATTTGCCAGTGTTCTAATGGGAGTCCTTCCAAAAAAAAAAGCTTTTTCTATCAGCCATATTTTCTTTCATTGGAAATTTTCCTAGAAGTCTATCTGCTCTGGGTTCATCTGCAATTTTTTAGATGAAATTGAAACAGCAGCTGAAATCTAGGAAACCAATCCAAAACTCCCAATAACTGCAAATGCAATGAACATGCTGAAAAATACTATTGGCAAATGAAACTGGAACTTTAACCTTGATCTTCACTACTTTAACCGGCTTATTTTTTCATAAAAAATACACTGCTAGCAACTTTGGTGATGATATGAAGCTGGGGAGAGTGACTGATACACCTGAAGGCTGTGCTACCATTCAGGGGGACTTCTGTAGGCTGAAAAGCTGGCTGGAGAAAATTCTAATGAGGTTCAACAAGGGCAGGTGTAGAGTCCTGCACTTGGGTAGGAATAACCCCAAGTACCAGCACAGGCTGAGGTCTGCAGAGCAGCTCTGCAGAGAAGGACCTGGGACTTTTGGTGGATGTGGCAAGTTGACCATGAGCCGGTAAGTGTGGCTTTGCTGCCAGGAGGTCCAGTGGTATCCTGGGGTGCACTGGGAAGAGTGTGGTCAGTAGATCAAGGGAGGTGATCCTCTCCTTCCTACTTGGCCCTAGTTAGGCCACATCTGGAGTAGTGAGTCCAGTTCTCGGCTCCTCAGTACCAGAAAGACAAGGAACTACTGGAAAGAGTCCAGTGGAGGCCACAGAGATGATTAAGATTCTCAAGCATCTCTCTTACAAGGAGAGACTGCAGGAGCTGGGCCTGATTAGCCTAGAGAAGACCTAGAGGGGATCTCATTAATTCATGTAAGCATTTCAAAGGCAGGTGCCAAGAGGACGGTGTCAGACTCTTTTCAGTGGTGCCCAGCAACAGGACAAGGAGCAACGGCCAAAGAACTAAAACACAAGAAGTCTTACCTCAACCTCTTTAGGTTGAAGATGGCACAGAACTGGAATAGGAATAAGGAAATAGGAATAGAAATAGAAATAGAAAACAGGAATAAAAATAGGAATAGGAATGTCCAAGAGCATCTCTCTGGAGACATTCAAACCCCACTTGGAAGTGTTCCTGTGTAACCTGCTCTAGGTAACCCTGCCTTGGCAGGGGGGTTGGACTGGATGAGCTCCAGAGGTCCCTTTCAACCCTAACAATTCTACTTTATCCAATGATTATCCAGTGATTCTACTGGATAATCTATACCTTACATTTATGCACACATCAAGAATCAAACTGCATATATAATATACTGTATATAATATATATAATATACTGCATATAATAACTGTTATGCTTGTATTTTGTAACTAGCTGTTACAAAGCAAGTTATAAGGCAGAGTCATCAACTCTGTCTCTACAATACACAGCAACATGATACTGAACCTGTTGAGATATTACTTCTTCAATGTGGTGGGAGGTACACCTACCATGTAGATCAGAGTTTGGAAATAATAAAGACACATTTGTGCAGTGGAACAGCTCTGTATATTTGGTACAGTGATGCCTGCAGGCCCAAACATGCAGCTCTACACTCCGCTACCCCTTGTTCTGTGGTTGACACTGGAAAAGATGGGTTAGGCCTACCACAAACAATGAGCACAGACATGATTTCAACAGCTTTTCTTAGTACTCAGTTCTTCTTCCCAGGAACTGGACTAGTTACAGCCATTATCACCAGAGCTCTGAAAAAACACCTACGTGTAGAGAACCACTGCCTTTGTGTACGAACAAAAAGCACAATTGCACACAGAGGCACACCAGATTTTTCTAATTAATTAAAAGACATACAATTTAGTGATTTCTTGCCCTCAAAATGGTTTCTTATGGGTCTGTAACTTTGACTTTTTATATAAAACATTAAAAAAATATTTGTAGCTTCATACCTGTGTTATAAACGGGAACCCAGTGGTAGAATTCATTCTGGTAGGGAACTGTGTCAAATTCACTGCATTGCATCTGACGAAAGGTTGGCAAGTCTTTGGGACAGGGGCTGATGTTACACATGCGATAGCGTTTCCTTTCTCCAGTGCAGTAGTCTCCTCCAAACTGTGGTCTACAAAAGGAACAATGAGATTTGGACCTCAGACTCTGTGTAAAAAAATAATTTTAAATGAAGAATATATTTCAGGTTCCAGTGGCACAACAACATGAATCTAAATCCTTTACAGCATAGAGATACTGTTCACATGTTTAAGTACTCAAACATCTCATTATGGAGCCTCTACATATCCCAAAGTAGTGTTTGGTAGTACCCAGATGAGTTCACAATAAATTAACTTACCAAAGGGACCCCCCTAAAATCCCATACTTTCCAGAACATTTGACAGTTTGATCAGAAAAGACAAATTATTTCTGCTGTTAGGCACCGTTTTAGTAATTTCTGAAAATGAGATGTAGAATCATTAACTCAGATATGTATCCACTAATTCTGCCTTTCATGTTCTATACCTGACAACTCACGTATCTGAAGCTCAAACAAAGCTGTTGACTAAAACAAAACATGAAAGATGAGTTCTCAGGGTCAGATTGATAGATATTGCTCTCAGCTGGTGCTTGAGGACATTTATTTATTCACTGCAGTACTAATAAAATAGTATTTATATAATTTCTGCAAAGCCTGAATGCTAAACAATAGGGTTCGGGGGTTTTGATTTTGTGTAGAAATAAGGTCCATGGAAGGTGAGGATTAAAGAACAAGATGACTATTGCAAAAGATGAGCCAGCTGACTTTCACAGAGGTATGCTTAACTGGGAAGGAGGTTTCATGGTCTGTGTTGGTGTGGCACCTGCCATTAACAGTCTCATACAAAAGAGCTTACAGTGTCCTAAGTACCTGAAGGATGTTGAATAAAAGGTAAGAAAAGATTGTGCACTCAGCTTACTCTGGGTTATCGCAGGGTCTCTCTGCACTTTGAACTCCTGCTCCACATGTTCTTGTGCAATGGGACCAGGATGACCAAATCCCCCATCCGCCATGGATTACTTCAGGAGTCTTGCCTACTGTAATACACTCGCCAGAGAAGCACCACTGAGGAGAGAAGAGAAAGCACAAGCAGCTTAAGATCATTATCACAGGAAATGTTACTGTGAGTTATTCTTCATTTCAGTTCTGAAGGTTATTTCAGTTCCACTTAAGTGGAAATGTGAATGGAGATGTCACAGGATGACCTTCTTTCACTCTGAACAATGGCAAAGCTATTCACGACTCCTCAGCCACCCTTTCGCAGGCAGCCACGCTTGCCAGCAGTGTGGCTCACAGTCACCTTGTTTTCTCCACACCGAGTGCCATCCGCAGCTGCATCCAGTTTGGAGCGGCAGGAGCCTTTCACCGAGCACCAGAGTGTTTGGCAAAGGTTCTGAAAAAGAAAGAAAATTGCAGCAATCTGAAGCAGGGCTGAACTCCTATGGCCAGGATTTTCAAAAGTCTCCTTCAGTTTTGTACAACTACTTACAAATCCTTGTAAGGGTTGTATTTCCAGAGGAAAACGTTTGGGGCTTTCCACAAGTTAGGACCCACCAAGGGTCCAAATTTAGGTACTTGTTATTACTGTACAAGGAGAGACTATTTGAAAAATAAACAATGGTAAATACTATCAAGTGCATTCTCTGAGCTATGTAAGTACAAATATTCTCCTCATTGGCTGCTCAGCTCCCAGCTGCTCCCACCAATGGCTTAGCAGACTTTGGCCACTACTTTTTATAGCTCAGGTGAACAGAAGATTGTACTTTTTCATTTGATGAGTACTAACAAATACAATGTTCAATTCTGCATTGCTGTCTGCCTGAAAACAGACAGCAAAATCAAAGGTTACAGCAGCCAGCCAGGTAAGTACAAACAATATCATGTGTCCAAGTACAACAGGCAGCTAATATTAATGGAGGTCCCAAAACTAGATGAGGAAAAAGTGATCAGGTCTCTTAAAACATCAGCTAAGCAGATGGTAGGGAAATTATCTTAAAAAAAACAGTCCAGGCTACCTGGCAGAGAAAAAAGCATAGTGGGCTGTGTAGAGTAAGGTCTCTGGTTAGTGGACATCGATATGTACATATTAAGCAACTCAGAAACTGGTGCCAGTTCTGTACAATTGATTGCCAGTAAAGCACAAGATTCCAGCTGCTGCTCCACATGCAGTGGTCAACTCCACAGAAAAGACAGAAACTCCTGAGAGTCAACAAAGCAAGCAGGGCAAGAAGCATTACAACTACCATATATCAAATCATCTGCACTCAATCAGAATGATTCTCTAGAGAGTAAGGGTAGACAATGAGAGCTATTCCTCCCTCCTCAGTTCCCATGCATACCAGCTTCTCTCGCTTGACACACAGGAGCCCGCCATGTTTGGGAACTCTGGAATGATCAGGGGCTTTGTGTGAAAAACCACTTCCAAGCTAGAGAAACTAAGGCTCTCAGGGAGACTGTGCATTCCCAACTGAAACAACAGAAGAAAAAGCCCAGGGGCTCTGAGCCAGGTCTTGACTGAGGCGATTTGGACTGCAGAGTCCATCACTGGAAGAGGGAACAGAGCTGGCTGCATGAACCTGTGAAGCAGGGGCAGCTTTAAGTGTCATTAGAAAAAGGAGTTGATAAGAAGGATCCCATTAGCATCTCCCCTTGGGATTCTCAGAGCAAGTCACATGCCAAATTTGGGAGCCAACATATAAACCGGGCACTTGCAAAAATGCAGCCCCAAAGACCTAGCAGAAATATTTGGCCAAGTGGGAATGCAAAACCTGGCTGCTCATTTCTGATTTGCTTCTATTTAAAATAGTTAAGCTTGGGCACAGTCTGCTTTCAGAGAGTTCCTTTTATTTACTTTCTCCATTGTGTGTTCACCCTGTTTATCTAGACCACCGAAAAAAAAGTTGATAGCCCAGAAAATCTCAAAGCACTCCAAATCTCCAGTTGAAATACGTCTGGGGCACTGAATCTCGGCTCTCTTAGCTGTTTTAAGGCAATGTACACAAGTCAAACTTTGTTTTGCAGTTCAAGGGTGGCATTACTAACTTTTTGTGAAGCCACTGTTGTCAGGTTCTTAAGGCAGAGCTACTCAAGTGTTCCAGCTAATGTATTTTCTCTCATTATAAAATTCATCTTTTACTCTTGTATATAGAACATGTTTTGAGTTTTTAATGTATAAAGTGTACTCTTGCACTGTGCCTCAGATACCCAAGAAACTGGCACAGAAACTGAACACAGCTTTCCACTGGCAGTTACTTTTTTATGAGGTGTACCCATAGACTTCAAAGTCAAGAGTTTACAGAGGAAATTCTTCAGCTTTGCAAGGATTTTTCCATATTGATCTCCATGTATCAGAGCTTCTGTCCATCTTTAAGAATACTGAAATAACAACAGTATAACGACCCATTTACTGTGTGCCTTTGGAGGTAACAGGCAGAAATTCATGACTACCATGGACTCACTGTAATGCAAGTGTTTTTTATTCATCAGCAGCATGAATATACACTTTACATTCAATCTATCAGATTACAGTCTGAATCCAAATAAACCTGGTGTCACAGAAGTCAGTGCAAGTTTTGGAGACAAAGAGAGGATAATAAGAATTTGAGCTCCTACAGACCATTCTATAGGAAGCCGTGGATCTAGTTATGACTTGGAAAATTCCTCCACCTAATATTTATTTTGTTTTTCTTTACCTTATTAGAAGGACATTATTTATGTACTTCAGGATGATGCTTAGGGAATTTTCCATGAACCTAAATGGTTTGTGGAAAACACTATCTGAATTACAAACATTATTTCTGCTAAGTGTAATCACTGACCCCTAGGGCATCTTCAGCTAAATGCAGATTCTTCTCTCAAAAAGAACGTGTGGATCAAATTCAGCGAGACATTAAATGTTATAAAACAAAAGTAGCCTTGTCAGTGAGCAAGATTAAGTGAATAGAGGAAAGGCAAAGAACAGTCAGACCTCATAGAAAAAAGGACAATACTGACGATTCAACATTCCAGGTAGACTGTACTATTCACAATTCCATCTCTTGCCAGTGCAGCTGCCAGCAAAATACAAGCCTCTCAGTAAAATGCAAAACGAGATGATACCACTTAATTTTGTGACATATGTCTAGCTGTAAAATTGGTTAATCAGGAGATGTCGAATGTAAAGGTCTATTAGGTTCAAACCCAAGTAGAGACAGACTGAACCAATACTGCAAAATTACATCTTAATTTTCTATCTGTACCAACAGACAAATTACAGTAACTGAGGAAACTGGAATAGCAGGTAATGAAAGCAATCTTTCAATACCTGCTTCAGATTCAGTAGTTGCAGTTCAAGACTGGTAATCATGTTATCTATTAAGGTTGAAAAGATTAATCAGAAATAATTTCCCTAATAGAACGGTAGATGAAGATACACATAATTATCTGAATGGAATAAACAGTCAACATAAGCAGTCCTCAGTCCACAGCTGTGCTCATACCAGCACTGCTGAGAGCCAAAGCACCCCTTCTGCATCTAACAGGACGAGCAAGCTGGATGCTATCTCCAATATTTACTGCACATTGCTGCAAAATTTAGTGATCTCTTAGCTAGGCTAGCACTTGAAAACACTGTTTCTGAACTGTTCTATGTAGGAAAATGCTGTTACGGACCCAAAGAGCTCTGGACATGCCAGGTACAGGTAAAATAGCATACTACTGCATCTTAGCTAATATAACCTGTTACACTGCATTGGCTCCTAGATCTTGTGAGAGTTGCATTGCTGTGACTATACTGCTCTCTTGCATCTTCAAACAACACTGTTTTGCTATTCTGTGAGACAGACCCCAGAGTGGGTACATTGCAAACTACGTGTTTCTGCATAAAAATCTAACGTTTGATGGGAAAATACAGATTTTTCAAAATAAATATTTTTCACATGGGCTAAAATATTCTTTTATTTTTAGACCATCGAAAGTGTGAAAAATCAGAGAGCACAACCCTGATTTCTTCAGAAAACTCTTCCTGGAACTGAAGATTTGTTTCCAGAGTGATTTGGTCAGTTGGAAGCTGTAGAGTTGAAGAATTTTTTTTTAAATGAGATTTAATCTGCATTGGTAATTTACAAAAGATCAGTATTATAAGTTTGAAAACAAAATTACTCCACTGCTAAAGGAGGCATTTAACAATTGATACGGTTCAGATTCAGTAGAGATGAAATACAAGGCAAAAAGTGCTACAACTCACTTCCAGAATCTGCAGAGCAGAATTAAAACAGTGTCAGGCAATCCCAGCACATCTAGCCTATGAGATTCTGAACATGCTGCATTTGTAGTTAGCAGCTGAGGTTCACTGACTGCACTTCCATGTCACTCAAAAAATTTAAATTGTTATTAGGAAAATGAAGAAAAACATAGAGCACTTACGTCCACATCTTCACAGAAGGTAGCATTGGAACCATACTGAAGCTGGCATTGGTGGTGCACGTCATAAATCACTCCAGGAGCAATGACTGGGGACTTTAAAACTTCTTTTTGGGGGATATCATCCAGACAGAATCCCCACCCTCGGCTAAAAGCCAAAAACTGCATATTAAAAAAAAACCCTACCACCACACTTTTATGACACTTCTGTACAGACTTTCAATATCTAACTCTTAAAGGTAATGTTGCTTATGGCCTTTGGAAATAATACTTCCAGATTCCAGCTAAGTTATGCTGGAGTGCTGCTAACAAATTAGTTACTTCATCTAGTAAGAGATGGTTTAGAAAGGTAAAATACAGCTTGTCAAAGTGAAAATATCATGAGATCATTATGGTTTGCAAAGTGGCTTCAGAGAACTCCATACATTCCAGTTAAAGTTATACCATACTGCTGCCCTTAAAAAGAACAAGTCATTGAAGCCAAGCACATGTCACTGTGGCCAAAGGCAAAGTCTATAAAGTTTTGTCAAGTGCTGATGGAAAGGCTCCTTTCTTCCTGGTAACCGCAAAAAGCTGTAGATTGCACCAAACCTGAGCCAATATGACAGACTTGAGCTCACATACAGACAACAGCACTATAACAGAACTTGTGCTATGCCTTCCATGGTAATTAACTCAAGCATACTAAACCGCCCCCCCCATTTATCAATATAATAATACAAGATTTACTTTAAACTCCACATAAACATTTCATACTAAGTTGTACTCAATTCAGGCAAATGCTACCACCTGCTCACTCACTCTAGGAAACGTGTGATGTATTCCTTGCTGCACTGTGACCAGGTGAGTGGAGTAGGATCATATTGCAACTGTCGGGACATAATATATGGGCGTTTTCCAACAGGCTCACAGTCATTCTCTTTTCCATCGTGCTGGATTCCAAAACTGGAGATAAAAAACAACATCTAATCACTCCAGCTGATTGGTTGTACCACAACACCTAACTATGGGTTCCACACTGTGTTTAAAAAGACACTTATGTTGCTTCCTCCCCTGCTGAGCTGTAGATACCTGTTTGCTAAAAAAAAAATATACAGAGCTTATGACCCAAAACTATGAAAAATCTACACTCCCACAGTGTATCAAACACATCTGTTACGCACAGTAACATTGTTCTGCACAAAAAAGAACAGACTATCACAGACTTTACTCAGGTACCTTTAAGGGAGTGCAAACACTAGTGCGAAGTAGGGCCAGGAGCCACAGTTTAAACCTAAAAGCTGTGTTACAGTTGCTACGGCTAAGATCACTTCCTAGCTGTTGGTGCAAACCTGCACAACTTTAAATAAAGGTCAGGCTTTGTTACATTCTGTCTTAGATTCTCTCATAATCATGTTTCTATTGCTTGTTTCCTTTTAAAACTCTTTTGATAGATTGCAACACAGATACTGCTTACAAAATTATTGAATGTTCAGTGAATTTCTCTCCAATCTCTACTCCATCTTCCTGTTTAGCTTTCTCAACCTGTGTGCTACTAACAGATCTCCATAGCTGGTTCTCTCCAGCTTCTCTGACTTACTGGAAAATTTTTTTATTCAACAGCTTGTAGAAGTCTATAAACACAAAAAACTCTGGACGGGTTGTGACTATTCAACTATGCCTCTATGTCACCTCAGCATGAAGATAATCTGAAATAATAACATATGAAGATATTGATATTTGAAGACATTGACACCTACACTGTTAACAGCTGAAGGTGTCTAAGTCTTAAGAGCAGTGACAACTTTCTCAGGCTATGATTCAGTCACGAATCAGACAAAGTGAGTTCAAAACACTTAAGACTATGTTTCTGGAAAATGTAATCATACCATGACTCAAAAGTTCCAAAAGCAGAGCACAATTACAGTCAGAATCAACTCCAGTAATGAGTCAGAGACATAAAAGCAAGTATGTCCTCCTGCTAACAGGATCTTTTCCATGAACAGTGTCTGCTGAATCAGGAGACTGCAAACATCTAGAGGTACAGTACAGTGAAGAGTTGAGTTCTCGTATTCATCTAAGAAATGTGCATATCTGTCTTCTCATTTTTTGTTCATCTCTTCTTACAGACTTCATCCATACTGAACTTTTCAGTGTATGAACTCTAACCTAGCTTGAGGTTAACAAGGTAACAACAAACTCTACAGTATTCCATGCCATTTATGGAGACAATCCTTAAAACCTGCACTGCTCCTGCAAGGGCAAGTATAGCAGCGCTCAGTCTCACAGCATCCAAAGGACACAGAGTTACCAGCCACCCAGGCTAGACCGGGAGAAGGTCACACATGGATCTATGGGGAAAAAGTGTCTTCAGATTACTATTGCTAATGAAAAAAGCTCACTGTCAGCAGCAGGCTGTGGGGACCAAGTAACTAAACCCACAGCACCCAGATCAAATTGCAGTGATTTCAGCGTTATTTACCTATATTATTTCCTTTCTGGCAATGGAGAGGTTGAATAAAGAAAGGCCAGTTAATGGGTGACAGGGTCATTACCATCATCATAATTATTACATCCTATCAGGAAATACAGAACTTCATCCTTATTGGTGGCTGCATGCACAGTGAAATTAATGTGACTATAGATACAGCAATGAACATGTGACCTGGCCAAGCAACACAATTCAGTTGAAAAGCAGAGGCATTACAGTCAAACCAGGATACCCATGAGATAATACTTTTCCCCCAGGAAAACAGCTGTGTCAAAACAGATTCAAAAATCAAAATTTTTTCAGATGAGTTAATAAGCCAACTAACCAACGAAAACACCCCCAGAAATTCAAAATTCTGAGAAATCCAGTTGAAGCAAAAGTACCCAATCATAAAAAATAGTTTAACCATGTGTGAAACTAAATGTACAAGAACTTTAGTTACCTTAACCTAAGTGTACCTAAAATAGCAATATTACCATACTGAAGATATCGCTTATTAAGAAATGCCAAAAAGCAACTTTATTAGTTCATCAGAAAGGAGAAAAAAATACTAAATATAAGACTTAATATACGAATTCGACTACTTGAGTTAAAAATGTTTTCTAGCTTATCTGCAATATTGAAATACCTTGACATAATGAAACAGGTGTGTTTTCTGTAAATGTTTTGGATTGGTCTGGAGATCATCTAAAGTAATAGCATGGAAATTGAGCTATGTTTGGAAAAATGAGCATGATTAAATCATGCTTTTTTGTAGCTTATTTATTTCATCCTGATGTACAGCCCTAACAGACACTGTTAAAAGCAGTAGAATGAATAGTTGCTTATGTAAATACAGGTCCAAGGCTTAAGAATTTCTTTCTTATTCCTTTGCTTTGAAAAAACCAACATAGTTTTGACTTTATTAATAGAAACATTAACTCACTTCTTGTTTTGTTTCTATCTGGCAATTTGAGTATTAACATGCAAATACTAAGCTCAGATAGGTCCCCCCCTTCACTGTCTGCTATACCTGTGTCCAAGTTCATGAGCAATAGTGAAAGCCAACGGAAGGCCAGAATCTTCATTGATGTTGCAGCTTCTGTGAGGTTGACACATGCCTGACAGGTGAGACAAACCTAAGGTTTCACACGGACGATTCATGCCAGCACAAATGTCCTTTCTAGAATCACAAAAGAGATGTGTCATCTAAAGTGCTCAAAACCAACTGTGGAGTGTCACTGTCATTGGGTGACAAGTCTCCACCTTGTAATGTATCCGTGCGAATTCGCATTTTAAGCAGAGCATAGTGATAACATTTTACAAACATATATGCAACAACATACACTTGTTCTATTACTATCATTATACTGCTACAATTTGTAGCCAATTGTAGTGTCTAAATACATACACTTACTGTCAACCCACATAAGAAAAAGTTTTAGAACCTCCAACTCTAACAGGATTTTGAAGTACTGTTTATTAAAGTCATCATACCTCAGGTTCATTCAAGTGAACTGCTTGAAGCCTTTTTATTTGGTAAATCATGTATCTTTGTGATATCTTATTTCGCATTCTTATTCTAAAATTTTTGACCAAAAATAACGCTGACAAGGTGGAGATCAGCCAAAGGTTGGACTTGTCAATCTTGGAGGTCTTTTCCAACCTAAATGATTCTGTGATTCTTTTTTTTTGCTGAATCACTTGAGATTTTTTGGGGTTTTTTGTTTGGTTTTTGCCTGGCAGATTTTAACTTAGGACTATTTTTTTCAGACCATAGCCTCGATCTCTTCTGTCGATTGTGTGCAGACTTGATCCCTTTTTACAGACCTGCAGAAGTCCCATTTCATGCCATGACACAAACTTCCATTGTAACCTCAGACATCACCTTAGGTTTTCTGTTCCTCCTTTGCTCACACATAAAAATTATTTTATTTCTCCTTATATATGGAGATATTGAAAAAGCATATATTTTAAAGTTTAAAAATAAATTGCACCATTTTTGCAAAATACTTTTCCATTCTGAGCTGCACTTGTACATTACTTGAGGAGTTGTTCATCTGTGTTCTACTTTGTTTCGGTACATTGCCTCAAAGAAGAATAGAGAAGTCATTGAGCACAAAATGAGATAGAAGCAGGTAGGGAAAATGACCTCTGCACATTGCTCATTTCTCAGGACATACAGATCTCAATTTTGTGACTAAGATGCACCTGTAACCCATATGCAAACGTAGTGTTATAAGTATTTTGAAAACAAATTAAAAAATATCCCTTTAAGAAGTACATTAGGTCTAACTTCAACCATGTTTTCATAATACAAATCACATCCTCTGCTCTATCAGCATCAGACTCGCTCACCCTGTGCTACTGTTGCATTACCATTGTGCATCAGGAGCAACGTGTCTTCATGGGACCACTTCACTGAGTTCTATGCAGGATGAACTAAATGATGCCATAAGCTTACAAAAACACATATCATTACCAAAAAAACGCAAATGAACAACAGTCAGTGGCTGATGGCAATCGGGTGTCATACCTGGTGAGGAGGACGGCCACATCGTGGTGCGTGGGGTTGACATCACTCTTCGGATTGACGTTCTTCTGCCATTTGCAGAAGCTGGCTAATGTCTTATCAGCATGGTGTACTATCTTCAAGCCTTGCTAATGGGAAATGAAGGAAAATATAATTGTAAAGACCATACTGCATTGTAATAACATCTCAGTGAACTCAGCTGTGAAAATGGGTAATCATTGAAATGTAATTGATTGTGCTTTTGCCTGAAGTTAGAGCCATCATTAGGAGCAATGACATCTATTTATCTAACATTGAATATTAAGTTAAAATGTTGAAATTTCTGTAATTAGTGCAGCTAAAGGAAGAATTACATGTAGAAATGTATGTATTTTTTGGTAAGTGAGCTTCGTAAGATCCAGTACTGAATTGAAACTTTCAAACATTTTATATTGTCCTGAAATCAAGTTTTCCTCTAAAGAGAAGGTGAAGCCTACTTAATGTGGGCCTTCATGCTCAAGTTTGTCCCTAAATGTTATGTGAACACTGTCACACTCAGGGAACAGCTATGCTCCTCATAGTGTATTTATTTCACAACATTTTTCAATTCCAAAGAGAAACAGTGCAGTCATAAACGTTTCTTACTCAACTTATTATTATACAGTTTACATGCAGATGACTGAAAATTCTGAAATGAAAAGTATGCAAAATAAATTAATTCAAAAATGAATTTTCTAATTTCTGGTCTTGGACACTCACTTTATCTCGCTTCACTTCCCTTCATTTTTTAGGAAGCATCTAAGTATACATTGTTACCAGATAGGAATTTCTGGGTAACTTAAAACAAAAGTTTGAAAGATATCCAACAGTGGTACCTCCAACATTGCCATCCTCAACTGAACAGTATCAGTGTGCATCAAAACAACCACCGAAATTCAGCAAGTTAACTTAGTTGGAGCTCAACATGGACCTCAGGTCCTAATTGTCCTGTTCAGATGCAAATTAGAGGGTTTGGGCCATATATACTTACATTTTAACTGACGACTGTTGGCTATAAGGACAGACTCCATTACAATAAATATTTTTGAAGACATAATCTGTGGGTTGGTTTACCCCCTTCAATAACACTGGAACCACCTGGCTTGTGGTTATAAATCATAAGCCACTGAGAAAATCCATTTAAGGTGTTCCTGCAGTGACAGCTAGCTATGTCATGCACAGTATTTTAAAAATAAGTATAAAATTACTACAATCAGCATGGTTTTAGGCATGTAGCAGCATATTTGTGAAAGAAAGACAGTAGAAACTACCAATACACAGCTATCTTACAGGAATTAACATCTACTCAGTCCTCAATTTTTTGCTTCAAAAGAGATTTTAAAAGAAAAATGTGTGTTTGTACACTGCACAGTAAGAGATTTAATTCTTCGGAGACCTGCAAATACTCTAGCACTACACTTTACAATACATTTCAGGTAGTGTTAGATAATTAGATCCTGAATGTTGATGCGTAATTTCTGCTTCTCGTCTAGTGTTCCATGGCATCCTATGTTCTTTTGACGCTGGGCAGATTCCACTTCCCCATTCCTAACTTGCCTGCTTTAATTATATTTTCCCAGGCAATTCTGTGCAGAAATACCCAAAGTCATCACTGCTATACAGGGCAGCATTTATTCTAAAACCAGACATGTCAAATATTATTAACAGAGTAAAATGAACACATTATTTTAAGCAAATATGATTACAGCTCAATACATTGAATTCAAAAGTTTTATAAGCGATATTTCAAGGTAAATAAAAACCTTACCTCCTCCTCCTCAAAGAGGATGAGCCGGACCAGCACAATGTGAATTGCATTGCCAATGCTTGGATCGTGGAACAACCCTGTGACCTGTGCCAGAGCCAGGAGGTATGAGATTAACTGATTCCTCTATAGCAGAACACGACTTTAGAGAGAAAATATGACATTTACTTCTAGAATACTGTTCATCTGGGGGTGGGGGTGTTGTTTTGCTTTTTAAATCCTCAATGCATTTCACTGAGAGTTTACTGAAATGCAATAAATGTTGGAACTACTGCAAAGGTTAGCTCTGCCAAGTAAGTGATGATACAAAAGTTACTAAGCTAGAGAGTAAAAGCCCAGAGAAGATTATATTGTGTCCATTTCCGTTTCAAAAACTTAAGAGTTCTTAAAAAACTCTAGCAGAAAAGAACACAACATCTACAGTCACATAACACTGATGGAGAGGTCCCCTCAGGGTCCAAATAAACCAGTACATCAAATTGTTCTGTTTTAAATCAACAGGAATCAGATTCTGTTGCAAAAGCAAAGGCAAAATTTAGAGAGTACAAATAAAGAGAAACAGTCTTGTGTTTTCAGAGCACAGGAGAGGATGATAAGAACAAAAGCCAGGATAATGACTCCATTAAAAAAAGACTACACATAAAACCGTACAAGAACTGAACTCAGCATAAATGTGATCCAGCTGCCATAAACATCCTTACAATGTTGAATTAGGCAGGAGGAATGATGATACTCACAACCTATCTATATGTGACCTATGCCATCTATCACAGGAAATATGAATGAACAAAATGGATTGCCTTTGGATCAAAACTATTACGGAGAAGAACACTAAAGAAGAAATTATCAAAATAAAGTGGAAATTGTGTTCACGAAGGTCTGATTTGGATATGGGTCTTTTTCGAGGTACTTTATGGAGAATACTGAAACATTTTAAGTAACCCTAACATCTAAGGTCAGACTGCAGAGAAAATGTTGAGACTTGTTTATTCCGGAACCTGATAATGACTGTCTTTTATTCCACGCATTTTTCCCTGTGTGGACAAAACCTCATGTGCTCAAACAACCTTTGTACCTGTTTAATCAGACTCACTGCCTCAGCAGCTAGTCAGATTCATTGGGGCACAGCTACGAACACACTGTATAAACATAAGGGACAGATCAGTTAACATGGCTAAAATTATACTGTGATTAACTTAGCATATATTACATATGTGCCATGATAACCACATAGAACACATCCCCAGTAGATTCTCAAGGTCAATATTTATTATACAGATAATAACAGAAGACATATCTGTAGGTAGTCTCACAAAATGCTATGGTTTTTCTCAGAACAAATCATATTTTGAAACTTGCCACACAGGAAAGCACGCAAAGTTCAACTTTTCTCCAATGTGAACTTTGTACTCTAGGCAAGATACTTACCTGGGAAAACAACTGTACTTGTTTTAAGTGGGATAGGGTTAACTTGTTTCATAATAGCTCCTACACTGCTGGTTGGATTTGTGACCAGTACAGTAACAAACTCTTATTTTAGCTCTTGCTAAAATACCAGTGTGTTCCTGAGTGCCTTTCTCATGCACAGATATATGAAAGAATTTGTATGCTTAAAACCTGTAGAACTGCTGCTGTAGTGAAAAATCTGAAATCACCACTGAGCAACAGACTCCAGGGGAGACAGAGAATATCAGTGGAAAGTGCTGGCTTTTATAGCTGTGAGACTTCTCTCGCTTAAAATCCAGTGAAAAATCGTGTTTACACAAAATACAAGGTAAAAGATACTTTAAAATACAGACTTTCAATAATATATACATGAATTATATCACATTTCTCTCTGTGAACAATGTTACAGACCTACTTCAAGGAGATCAGCAACATAATCAAATTCAGGTTTGCTTCATTTGTCTATCTAAAAATGTTGTACATACCATATTCATTATAGTGAGGATATATGATTCCACGTGGTCACTTCCATGGTACTCAACCATTTTACTGTCTGCAACCACAAGCGTCTCCACCCACCGCTCCTTGCTGACAGAGCGCCGAGAAACCTTTCTGGCAGCTTTATGATTTTGTTCCCATCTCTCCCTTCGAAGCTGCTGCTGTTTCAAAAAGCTGTGGGTATCTGGAAGAGTGAGAAGCAAGGCTGTCTTGAACAAATTTTCAAGCTTGATTTGAAGTGTATGGCCATAACACTTGCAGACAGAATGGCAGCATCACAGGATAATGTGAGTCGGAAAGGACTCCTGGCTACACCTACCCGACCCACTGTAAGGCCAACTCCAAAGTGACACCAGACTGCTAAGGGCCCTGTTCAGCAGAGTTCTGAATCACCCCAGATGTATTAAACATCCATCCAAAGGTTTACACTATTCAAATGCTAGGGATTATGCTGTGAGACAGAGATAAGCTAAAAGAAACCAAAAAAAACCCCAACCAACCAACCAACCAAAAAAACCCCCACAAAAACAAACAAAAAAACCCCACCCCCCCCCCCCCCCCCCCAAAAAAAAACCCCACAAAATTTGAATAGGGGATGCTATTTTCAAGGAGTTCTTTCGTGATGGTTTGGCTCTAAATTCTCTAATGACACAAGTTGATAGTTTGAGATATCCTTTCTTCACAGGTAGCCTTTTTCTCATCAGGATGGCACGTTAAGCTCGGTGCTATGACACATCCAAGCCTGCCTTGTTCTGTGTGTGGAAAATATCTTCAATGACTGGGGACACTTGACCAGCAGGTGTCATCTAAATACCAGCAGGGCAGGCAGCCACGGGCTCCTCAGCTGCTGTCATCCTGCCTGACTGACAGGCGAGACACTTACTGCTTCCACTTTAATTTTGGGATCTGTGCATCTAAATCTTTTCTGGAAGAAGTCTTGGCTCTGTAGAGTTGTTAGCAACCTTGCACTGCACTCAGTGGAGCTAATTAGTCTCCATTCAGCCTAGGCTTTGAATGTTACTAGGGAAATACCAGGGATGTAAATACCTCCAGGCCCAAAAAATAAATGAGATGCCAGTTCAACAGCTGCTGCTGGCATTTTTCCAACCCATAATCCAGAGAAACACTTCTACAGTGCAGGGATTTCCTGAGTCCTACGAAGGATCAGGAACAATTGTTTCTATTACATATATTGCAGTAGTACCTTGGCATCTCACTCATGGAAGAGCATGTCCTTATTCCAGATGGAGCACATCCGCAGGCCAGAAAGACAGTTCCTGCCTCCAAGTGCTTCCAGCCTTTCCAGCACCATCCCCACTGCTGTTCGGCAGAGGACAGCTATCCAGCATTATTACTTCCTCCTCCCAGCAATACCAAGTGTTGAGGAACAGTTACCCAGACCACTCTTCCCTTGAAGAATGGATGACCTGGCAGCTAGGTCCCAAATCTTTTGTTCACATCAGTAGATCTGCTACACCCTTGTCATGAATACCTTGTTTGCCTTTTAGAAGACTCAAGTGCAGACAGAGGATGGCACCTCGCTTATCTGCAAAATGAGGCAGCATTGGACTATTAGTGATGTGTATAATGTATCTCTCAGTGTAAAATGTGATTAGTATCTTGGTTTATCATATATGTTAAGGTCAGTCTGAAAGATGCCTAGAGAAAGAAGTGCTGGTACTCAAAACACATTTGCGTAAAATTGAAATATGTCACTTTAATAAACAAAATAGCATCAGCCACTTCGCACTTTTAGAACTGAGCCACAGTGCACAAGTGTGCTGTACACAGCAGCAATGAACTATTGCTGCTATGACCTCTGCCCTAACCCCACTAACCCACACTGCGGCATCACTCTAGCTGTCTCCCTCAATCTTTGTTCAGCTACAGCAATCTCCACCTCAATGAGGGGCTATTTATGAGCTGTATTCATTAGTCTCTCTCGTACATTTGCATGGTTTTCAGTATTCTTATTTCTATGAAGCACAGTTCTCATTATCTGCGTTTTTAAGGGGTTTGTGCTGAGAAAAACCTTTCCCGCAGCTACCCGAACAAAAAAAACTCTGTTCAGACTGCTGGTTAAGTGACTTGTTTATGGCCAAATAAACGTTAGGCCAGCTGTCAGGCTTTGTGTTTACAGCTAGCACAAAGTACTGCTAATTGTCTGGGCAGCTGGTAGCACTGGAGTTAAAAATGTTTAAAGTCATAGAGGCTGTAATGGCGAACAACCCCCAGGGAAAAGACTAGAGTCCTGGTTAAGTGTGAGGTTCTGTACTGTAGGAAAGTCTCAGAAGAGATTCAAATTGTGAAAATTAATGCCAGATAGCCACACGATTCTGCAGACAAACCTCTTTCCTCAGTGATGGATGTCCTCCTGTGCAGGGTATGTTGCCTGGATGGGTGACATCTAAGGACTGGATCCCTGCTGTGTTAAGTCTCCTGGCAGCTTTCTTAGCCATATGAAGCATAGAGAGAGAACCTCTTAGACCTACACTAACAAACAGGCGGCTACAAAGTATAGTTATACTTCTGCTTTTATGTGTCTCCAAATTTTGATTGTTAAGCTTTTAATTTTGAAGTTAAATAACTACCTTGTTTTTCCCTTGAATTAGTAAAGTGTTACAAGTGATTTCAGATTTGCTGAGTAATCCCAGGCAGCCTGTTGTCCAGAAATGGAAGCCTTGACTAGGAGCCCACCGGTTCAGGAATACCCAAGAAGTGTTGAAAAGTCTGAGACCTAGTAACATCCAGTGCTGTCTGAGAAAAGTCTGCCTCCCCATGTTCTTCCATCATAACTGCTGAGCACAGCACATTCCACAAGTAACAGAAGAGAGAAAGGGGGTACTCATACTCTGAGTGTTCCAATGCATTTCTGAGGAAGTGATATAACACAGGTAGGTACAGTGCTGGAGTCCTCAGGAATAGAAGCAAAAGTAGTGTTGAGAGTATACCCAGGACAGTCTAACAGTAAATAAAAGAAGGTTGGTAAGAGATTCAGGTAACAAACTGCATGAAATTCAAGCAGCAATACTCAGAAGTTTCTAGCCGTCATGGGAGAAAAATTTGGAAATGCAAAGCTTTTATCAGAAAAACTGATTCAGCCAAATGTGTAACATTCCAACAGTCATATGTGATATCCAGCCATGTGACTGCATAACCAGAGGAAATGGTGTAGATTACAAAACTTCATCAGCTTCTACTCAGAAATGGTTGATTAATTTCTGTCAAAGGGTTGCTTTTTAAAATCAAATTCTGAGTTGTTTTTAGTGAAAAATAAAAATGTCCCCTGAAACTACCCACACAAATCCTACTTGACTAACAACAACATAAAGGACCCTTAACTTTCAGTTACAAGGAAAGATTTTAAGTTCTCTGTAAGACTCAATTATACATGAAATAACAGTATTGTACAAACTTCTTCAGTACAGGTTAAAACTGCATGATTTCTGTGAAGAAAACAAAAGTTATACTCTCTCTTTTAGCACAGCAGTTTAATTTTTCATCAGGTGACAACATACTTTGCCAAACCTTTTGCCAATCTTTCTTTCCCCAAGAAAGAACTTTCTAATTTTTAGCCATCAATGTTCTCACTATAAAAAAAAAAAATCCACTGAAGTTCTTCTCTACTTTGAACAGCTCACCCTCTCAAAATGTTGCTTGATTTTGTTTGATTATTAAGCAGTTAATTATTGCTTGCCCTCCCCTGCCCCAAAGGGGCATTAAAGAACAAACCTGACACACCTCTCTTAAGGGCATTATGTGAGATTTCCATTAAGAAGGGTTTTTTTTTCCCCCCAGGCTTGCTCAAGGAAGAGTGCAACATACAGCACAACACAAAGGGACCTCAAGGTCCAGCTTTCAACACCTTTGGAGGCACATAGGGCTTTGAAGAAGCAAGGTGAAAATGTCTGGAAATTCCCAGAAAAGGAGAATGTACCCTACCACTGAAGGCTGTCAGACAAAATATAGTAGTACTGATTCATGTCTTCACTTTCTATCCTCAGCTTCTTTTTCTTTGCGCAAGAGCTCTTTCATTTTTACCACTCTATGTTGTTCACAGTCAAAATGCTACAACTCCAGATAGGAGGCGTGAACAGGAGGGATGTTAGACGAATAAATTTGACACTGTTCATAACTTGCTACATTATGATTCTTCCAAAAAAACTTCACTTTGTCCTAAGATGTGCCTTAAGGTTAAGTATTAACAAAATGACTACAGTTTTGCGGTGAGCTTTTCAAGAGGTCAGTAAACTCTGTTGAAACAGTCATTGTACAAAGGACATCTCCCTCTTTCATTCATGAAGAAAGAGAGCAAATTTGGCAGCTGACTTACTGTAAGAACTTATTAATTATTTATAAAATAAATGCAGTAGGAGATCCCCATCCCCTGTTCTAACTAGCTCTTCTAAAACAGACAAGGAAGTTTTGTACAGATGGTTTCTGCTTATAAACAGCCATAACAAAACTAAGTCTGGATGCTGACAGTGGGAGAATAAGGACTCACAGGCTATAACGGGAAAACTATTGTAATGTAAGAAAGTGAGTATGTGAATTTAAAATTGAAAAGATAACCAAATCAGTTCTTTTTATAAGCATTTCTAAAACAGGCTAAGCTAAATCACACAAATCCTTTCCGAGTGTGGAGTGTTCACACAGGAAACTATTACAACAATTTAATCACATACAAGCCCATGATGACAACCACCAAGTCCCAGCAAAAACAAGCACAGAGAAAGAAAGCTTACAACTCTGCAAGGTTTGTTTAACTTTGACATTCCTGCTGTCAGAAACGTGACGTATCAAACAGTGGAGACACACCACTTTAGTGCAGAATGAAGCTAAAATTGGACCTGTGTTGACTGATGCACTTAATCAGATACTGCTGCTCAGTGTGTCTGCTGCTCATTACTACTTGGGCTGGAAGGATGGAATGATAGATGTGCTGGGCCACTGGTATCAGGAGGTACATAGAGAATAGCATTGTGAGAGACAGCTATGCCTGAAGCTTCCAATGTTTTGCAATGACTATCCTTCTGCCTCTGTGTTCTTATTTTCTTACTCAGGAATTAAACCCAAGTCAATAAGGGACAGTTAAAAATTGAAAAAAAGTATCTTCTAAAACAGAATATATCTGTAAAAGAATTTTCAGATTAAAAACTCACAGTAAATTTTTTTTATGTTAGA